TTTGCTTCAGTTAATTTTTTTAGTCCTTTCTCGTCTTTATTTGCTTGGGGTGTTCGGAATGGTTTCCTTCCAGCTTATTCCTCATTGTGGCCAGTAGAGGGTTAAAGCTGGTTGGACCATTCAAGAAGAAAGGGGATTTGGTCACCAGCCAATGGGAATGTGCGCCAGGCGCCATGGCTTGAGACCCCTCAAATCACACACAAAGTAAAAAGATATATTTGAAAAGGGGAACCATGATTTTCCACTCAGGTATATAAGGAGTACTAAATACCCTTTCTTCAGAAGTATCCAAAGAGACTGTTGCCTGGTTCATTGTCCTGCTGAATATTTGCCTCTTTTGAATGATTTTTCTGCTCTTCCCACAATTTAATTTGCTTTGATTTTTACGTCATGGTTTTTTGTATACAATATTTTACAAAAGGATTAACAGGCATTAGCTCTCAATTTTTGGCCTTTCACGGCAACTATATCAAACTGAATTACATTACAAAATGTAAATTCAAACTCATGCTTTAATTTCGTCTGACAGGAAGTCAGTCTGTTGCTAGCTTGAATGAAAACACGGAGCACCATATTGTTTCTACTTAGTGCCTTTTGTCAGTTCATACCATATTGCAAAATGTGTTATAAATGGCATGGATTTGAAAGTGGATCATGAAAAAATTATCATAGTCAGGGGCTGAAGGAACTTTTGTATCAACATGTTAATAAAAAAGGTTGATGACTATAGAATATTACAGGAAGTAAATGTAAAGTCCCAAAAAAGGAGCATAGTTCCTGATGTTCCTGGCCATTAGAGAATGAACCAAGCAAAGACAGACCCCCTCCAAGCTTCCTGGGGAAGTTCCAGACGGTTTAATCCTTTTGAGTTGAAACAATGTGGGATAATCTGGTAGGAAGCCATTCCTAGAACCTTTGCTTGGGATGGGATAAAATACTTATCCTTATTTAATATTTTCTGGAATTGGCATTTAAACTTAATCTGCTTTTCTTGACGCTTTCAGGACTACGAAGAAACCCTCCTCTTGCTGTTTATTTTTGTAGGTCTTCTGACTATGAATTAGATCGTAAGGCACATCTTATTTTTCCTTTTCGAAGATACCATGAAACTGCCTTACTTGTCTAAGCCGTTCGACCGGCTTCACTTACCGCCCAAAAAATTCCGTTCAGTGAAAGGATTGTCGTTTTCATTATACCGGTACTTCGAAAGAACTAATTTTGTTGGATATTGGCATCAGTGCTACGCGCTCCGGTAGAATTCGTCCTCGAGGAAATCGTCCTTTGTAGAATTCGTCCTGGGGACTGGGTAGAAATGGGCCTCGGGACAATTCGTCCTCGCGGGGGGAGGCGGGGCTACTGGCGGGGGTGGCGGGATGGGATACCCTCCCTCCATATGCTGGTCAGTCTTTCTGTAGACCAGGAGTAGTGCGCATATGCCTCGCACGAATTTGAAATCAGACAATGACTTCAACACCTGTATTTTTTCAAATCTGACGATGGATGCAATTGTATTTTTTTATTTACCTGTATTTTTTTTTATCTGACAAAGGATGGACAATGGATGCAATTGTATTTTTTCTATTTGGGTTACATTTTGTAAATCCTATTATAGATAACCAAAATCTGCCAAGAAATTTATTTTATGCTTACTTTACACATGGAATTTGGCAAACATCCACAATCCGGGAAATTTCATGGGGTTTTTGAAGTACAGTAGCTGATGGCAAATTTTGAAATATTGTTGGTTAGATTGGGTCTTGCCCACTGTCTCTGAGTGGCGCCAAGGAAGATAAAAAAGAAATTTTTTAACGGTAAGTTGTAACCCAATGAGAAGTCCAGTACACAGAGATCGTATGAGGATTGATGCAACCTGGGAAATGTATAAATATATACATTTTGGTTATCTATAATAGGATTTACAAAATGTAACCCAAATAGAAAAAATACAATTGCATCTGTGGAAATATTTGTACATTTTTGCAAGAGAAACAATTGTGAATAACGCGCGGTTGCACCTGCAATGTAGCGTAACCCCGCCTCCCCCCGCGAGGACGAATTGTCCCGAGGCCCATTTCTACCCCGGCCTGGGACGAGGACCAATTCGTCCGAGGACGAATTCTTACGGAGCCGTGCTACGGGTGTCTGAATTTTCCCGCGCAGTCGAATTTTCCCTCAATATAAAATTTGAAATTGGATTTTGATTTGAAAATGAAATAATTCAAGTTTAATTTTTTTCAACTTGATTCATTCAAGGAGAGTTATTTTTATTTTCGAATCATTCTCCATTCTTAAATTTTTCTTCTCACCCACCATGAAGATGTTTCTGTGATGGTTTATTGATCACAAATTTTGAGACATTCCTGAAAACGAAAAAAATATTTCTTTCCACTCACACGCCCAAAATTTGAAACGGAAAAGGTCAAACCTGTCGCGACTAGAATCATTCTCCTGCCATTGTCATCCTGTCGAGAAAAAAAAAGTCTCGAAAATGCAGAATAATTCTAGGACGAGTCATTATTATCTGAAGTACAGTACCTGTACTTTCTACGGTAAATGTTCGCTCGGCTGACCCCAAGTCTTGCATAAGTAGGACAAACTTTGCATTAATGTTATCAATCTTATTGAGAAACAAGTGGTATCTTCTTCCTTGTTTTTTTTTTAGTATGCGTGCTGGTCATACTGATGGAGAAAAACCACAAAAATACACCGCTTTGCTTTGGATATGATTTCGACGGATATTTACCGAAAGAAAAATAATTTTAAAATTGTAATTCTCCCTAGGGAACTCCGTAGATTCATTATGATGATGATGATGGGGTTTGTGTTTTCTTCATTTTTTTGAACAAAAAGAGAGAAAGTTTGTTTCCTTCAAGGCGTTCAAGTGCATTTACGGTTACGAAGAGAATATTTCGAAGCACTGCTAAGCTCAATTTTACTCTTCAATTTTTGCTTATGGTGTTGCGAATTAATCGAAATAAGTTGTCGCAGGGTTCCCGATGAGCAGTTGAAAGATTGGGGCAAAACGGAAGCAAGAATGCAAAAGGAGTGCTCTTTGATTGAAGGGTGCCAGTGAGTCCTCATAATCGTGGCATTGTGGTATAGATATTAGACCAAGTATCGCTGACTACCAAGTTTGGATTTTCGTTGGTTGAAAAGGAAAACCTTCGAAGTTTCTGTGGGCTTGATATGTTTGAATAGGTCGGTCCTTTTGTAGAAAGACTGGGTCGCCGGTTTTTTTTTTTCCCCCTACGTGGAGTTCATAGAGAGATTCCTGAATAACATGCTGTAAGAGTGACATTATGAATGCCTTGCGAAAAAGAGTTCCCTTTTATTCGTTACCCAAATACAGTATGCGTAACGCGAATTGAAAGTCGAAATTAGTTTTCTCTGTGCTTCTCCAGACGAACCCCCGTTTTCTTTTAATCCCTCACTAATTTCATTTCACAGGAAATCCCACTTTGCACTGGCTTGAATTTGACGATATGTATTTTTTTTCCTCTGTCGTCAATTTTTCAGGTCTTTCAAATCAAGAAACTTGGTTTACTGCATGGTTCTGTCTATTTATTTTATTTTTTACCTGCTAAGGGAATATTTTCCGATTATCCGCTTTGAGTCTCCAGCTTATTCATAATTGAAACAACCGCATTTTCAAGTTTTTTTTTTTTACTTGAAATTGAAATTTCTTCAGAAAAATCTAGCTGTCTTTCTTATATTTTAGACTTTGTAAAATGGAATCGCCCCTCGAACTATGTCTCCCACATGAGCAGTCAGAGCGACAATTTCAGTCTTCATAAAATTGTAAACCCCTTTATGAGGGCGGAGATAAAATTATGTCAAACCTTGCATGGGAAGGAGGCAGATTTTTATATTTGTATGTTTCTTCCGTTTTTTTAACATGTTTCAGCTGTATTCAATGTTTTGTTTAAAAAATAAATATAAAAAAGGTGAAAAGAGAAAACTTCCCCAGAATGCCCATCTTGATGAATTCTCAGCTTATCATAGACTGCTGATGCCATATTTCAATGCAATTTGAAATTAAAATGCGATTTGAAGCCTTTAAAAAATTTATAAAATGTTCTTGTGAAAAAGTCTTGACTACCGTTCTGCTTGCGCGAAATGGAATCTCGACTCTTATTTTTTTTGTATTCCTGTTCAGATAAATTTTCTTCGTGAGCTAAAAAAAAAAGTTTGTTTCTATGGTTGCACGAGTGTTTCTGGGCTTTTTCTTTTCCCCTTAGTGTATTTAGTACCAAGTGATGCTTCTGTATGAATCGTTCAACCCTCTTTTATACATTTTAATGAAACATTGGCTGATTACATCGATGCACTGGTGTGATTTCTCGCAGAGTTGACTGGTCTGGCGAGATTGTGCAAGTGTCCGTATCAGAAGTGGATAATCCGATCAAGAAAGCTGTCGACTGTCTGCCTGAAGCACTGGCCAACTTTTTGTATTGCTTTTACGGACAACCGATTCCTCAGCGTCCTGGAGACCAGCTTTTACCCGGAGAGGACTCGTGGGATTTCGAGAATTTGATGGACTTTCACAACAGACAGTGTCATTTGAACGAGTATGACTCTTACTCGTTCGCCTTTTCAGTCAAGCTCCCGTCTGCTGGTTACTGGAACACTGGACTGCATGTTGTTGTTGAAGCTGGGAATGAATTTCAGGTCAGGTTCCAATCGTGTTTTTTGTCGTTGGATAAATGTGAGCAAGAAACTCATGCGAGTGCGGTTTTATAGTTCTAGTTAATTTCTCTAAACTACAACCTCCGAGTAAACGGGTCCCGCCAGTTATTTCACTTTTTATTCGCCTGTGTTAGCCTATGTCTTATTGAAAGGCTTTTTTTTAAAGCGCAAGAAACTTAACCTCACGTACAAGCTGGGGGTGCCCAGCCACACCTGGGCATCATGTTTAGAATTTTACAGAAATTTTAAGAATTCAATCATTTGATATAATCATTCTTTTGGGATGGGATGCTCAAAATGAAGAGAGGACTGTATAATGTATTGCAAACCCTTCCATAATCAGGTGAACTTTTGCATTGTGAACCATTATGTGGCCAAAGGTCCACTCCTTCCCCATGGGCTTCAGGCCAAATTACAAGAAACAGATATTTCCAACCCTAAAATTGGTGTAAGAAAAATTCTTAGCCATTTCTCTCACCAATTTACCATCCATTTAGCTGATTTAAAAAATTTACCTCCAGCAGAGAGGGACTTCATTCTCTCTTTTTCACTTGAATATTATTTTTACAGCCAATATTTCTATGTACTGTACAGAAATATCAGTATTAAATTCCCTAAATGTCCATATTGTGTTGAAATATATTGATTAGAATCAGTTAAAATTAGGAGACAATTTTTATTTTCATGGAATTATGGTGTGTATTTTGTACATGAAACACCAATTGAAAATTATATAATGTAAGTCTAAGGGAGAATGAGACTCAACTTGGGGACATTTGACTTGAGGACACTCTTGCTGCATAAATTATGTCCGCATCTTGGGGTCTCACTGTACCTTGAACTTACCACCATTCAGAAATGACGCCTTTTCGTTGTCTTATATGAAGTTCGAAGTTGATGGACGAAGTATTTGTACAGTATGATGTTACCTATGCAGACTTTCGCGTTCAATGCCTCGAAGGGAGACATAGTGGCATTTTCCGAAATTCCCCAAGTGCTATGTAAAATATCTCTAAAAAATATTGAACTTTACTTTAATGTGAAGCGCTGTGTTTTGAACTGGCGTTCGTTAAGAAATGACCCCTTTTCCATGTCATGTATGAAGTTCAAATTTGATGAACGAAATATTTGTATCGCGTTCCCTATACAGACTTTTGCATTCAATGCCTCGAAGGGAGACATTGTGGCATTTTCTGCAATTCTCAAGTCGGGACTGGGAACTATGAAGCCGGTTATGACGCTCCGGGAAATCCGATGCATTCACTGCAAGAATCCGTTGTTGACGATCGTTGCTGAACCACCGATGTCTCTCTATGACGAATTTGTCACAGGGATTTCAAGCGTTTTAAAGTTCATTTTCGCACCTTTCGTTGGGGACGCAGGTACTCTGGGTGACGATCGCGTCGTTTAAGGACTTCATGTATCTGAAGTTTTCTGATGGTTGTTTTGTCGGGTGACCCCTTCGTACCTCAGAAGTTGCTCTTTGTTTATGCGAAGGGTTGTTTTGTTTTGGCGTAGGCGTTTTTTCGAAAGTTCGGCCCTGTACGTTTTTCAGCCGTCATTTGGGGAAAATGCGGGATTGACTTTGATCCCTCTCATTCTCAAAGCCTATTTTCTCGTTTTTCAAACCTCCGAATATTCAAGGAAAAATTATGACCAAGCCGTACAAATTTTAAGAATTTGAAAGATGAATTTCTCGAATAGAAGTTAACTGAAGCTGAGATTTAAAAGCAAAAATTGAGAAACTTTTGAGATGAAGCTTACTTAATCTTCCTCAGCGTGGTCTGCAAGTTTTTTTTTTTTTTTGCCGCCTCTGATCACTTCTGTTTGATATGTTTGATATGCCCCAGAAAAACCGCTGATCGCAACACCGGTTGACAATTGGTGGTGGAGAACGCTGAAAATATCTTTGATTCTAAATTAGATCAGGGAAGCCCGAGAGAAAAACTGGGCTGCGGTAACAATTTTATCCTTTCCATATCAAGAATACCAATCTGCAAGGTATTCATTGCAGAGCGAAAAGAGGGACATTGGGCAAATGTCCAAAGATCTGCTGTCGAAATGGCCAGGTTTCATTTGGCTAAAAGCTTTTCGGAGATGCAAACGGACGCGAAAGTGGAGCAAAATTTTTAGGATTCAATTTGACAATTCCTTATGTGAAAACTAGGCGCAAATAGGAAAGAAAGCTTTCGTGAAAGTTGGTTGGAATGACAACCTAAACCTTTTTGTCGTGGTTTTTGTGCTCATCATAGTTGAGTCCGCTGTGTGAAGTGAGAATTGTCAAGAGTACGAGAGCCACGTACCAAAAATTCATTTCTGAACTGTTCGTTTTGTAAGCTGCTTCTGAGTTGTATTCATCATATGGGACTTCTTTTTTGTTTGTCCCCTCGTGTCATTTTGATGCTAGAAATGACAATTTTTACAAGTTGGTAGCTTTGAAGTGTAACTGCACCTGAAATACCCGAAAAATTGAAATAATGTCACGCTTCCATTCAAATATGCCCAGAATTGAATCTCCTATTGTATTCGAAATTCCTTCGTAAACATTTTCCAAAAAGACTTACATATGAAGCCCTAATTCATGATGAGGGAAGGGTTGTCATCTTCTTTAATTTGATCATGCGACAGGAGAAATCATTCGCGCATCGGGAATGCTTGCGAAAGATTTTAGTAGTAGTGCGTGTTGAAGCCGAAGGAGCGGCAATAATTTAGTGATCATCGGAGATCAAAAAGTAGTTCCGAAGGCCCAAAGTTTAGTAACTTTAGAGATTCCATAGAGGCGATACTGATCTATTTTTTTGTGACGACAACAATTTTCGACGAAAATTTGCCGTTTATTTTCTTTGGGTGATGTGGAAAGATAAGAAATTTATTTTTGGTTTTGTTTTGGAATGGCGACGCTAACAGAATTCAATCGGTGTGGTAGTCATTTTTATTCAGCGTTCAATTCTCTCGGAATTCGTGGAACATAGAAGCCAGTATTGGACCATGTAGTGGAAAAAATAATTCCTGAAAATATTTTTTTGTCCGCACTGCTCATGACGGTGGAGGCGAACATTTCGATTTTTACGGATTTTTACAGAGTAGCACTGTATTCTCTATCCCGTTCGGATGTCGTGTTCTGAACTGAAGATTTTTTTCAATGAAATCTAGATTTTTGGCATTTTTTTTTCGCAAATGCGCGCAAATTTTGTTTTCGTGTTCTTCGCGTAAATCTCGGGCATGCGATCTAATTTTGTTTAACCCGCCTTGTGATACTAGTGTCGTCCGAAGTTGCTTCGGATGACGAGAGGTTGGAACCTTGCTAAATGTCGCGAAATGAAAATATTCAAAAGGCTACATTTTAGCAGTTCCTCAGTGTTCCTTCATTTAATTTGCGTTATCTTTTGTCTTGTGGGTTATTTGAAGTCGCGGGAGTTTTCGTTTTCAGAATTTTTTGCATGTGTGTTTGAGAATATGACGACGAAGACGGGGGATGTGGGTTCAAGAAGCAAGTTTGCGGTTGACTTTCAAGACCTGTTCACCTACTTGAAGTGTATGCCGGAGAAATCACTCCAGAAGCTTTTCGAATCTCCTGCTGCTTGCCTGTCTGTGTTCAGGTTTGTACGAAATGGAGTTTGTTCCCTGTCTCAATTCGCTTTTTTCTGTCTCATTATCATCATAAGGTTTCTCTGGCTTCAGCTCGAAAAAATAAAAATAAATGCCGCATTTTTTCCGAAAATATGAAAGGTCGGATGAAGCTTTTTTTTTATTTCGGAATTAGTAAAGGTTTATTAAATCTTTCGTCCTCTTCGTGCCAACTTGGAGGAATCAAAATTTTGAGCAGAAAATTTGATTTTGTAAGATTTGGGGATGGTATTCCGAGCTTTATGACGAATGCTTCTTGTCTTCCGCAGAGTTTTGCCATCCTTCGCACAAATCATTTTGTGTCAAATGGTGTTCTTAGAGAAGCCAGTGCCAAGGACTGTGATAGACTCGTGGGCTGATAAGAATCACCAAAAGTAAGTACACCGACGTAATCTGTTCCATTGTCCGTAATAATTTCGTTCATTTATTTTTTTCATTATTCGAAATACAGTATTATACAGTACTGTAGTTGATTGTTTTACTCATCAATTCAGCAGAGCGAAGATTTAAGAATAAATCACGGTTTTTTGCGAAAGGACATGCGTTTTAATGATCTACCGCAATTCGAGAAATTACGTCTATTTTCATTTCCATTTTAACGTGCACCTGCAGCAATTAATGTGCAAAATTTTCTGAATTGGGGATGAGAAATAATTTTGTAAAATAATCTCAGTAGGGTTTTAGTATCAGCTTTTCGTCTTTAACCTTTTTTTTTTTTTACAGTGATGTACAAGAAGCTGTTAGTGCGCTGGACACTTTAGGGATCTGGAAAAACGCTTCAGGGCATACAAGCGTTCTCGCTTATGTGATGAGCTCTAGATTCCGCGACAATTTCCGAGTTTGTCTTCTCGGAGGGTGAGTTGTTATTAGATATTAGATTTCGAAAGTTTTTATACTGTTTTTTCCAGCAAAAAAAAAAAAAGCAGTCTTAAGTTTCCGCCGAAAAGTTAGTGTCACTTGCCAGCCATCATTGAAGGCAGAGAAGTGGTTGGTAATGTTGAGGGAATGACTGTATTCTTGAATAATATTTAAAAACTCCATCAATGTCATTACATGAAACCAATGGAAGCGTTTCCTGATCTGGGATTATTTTGAAGACCTCTAAAACCCCTAATTTTCATGAAAATATGAATGAGAGCTCTATTCAAGATTCATTGTTCAATCGCCTGGTCCATCCATGCACTTAGCAATGGACGTAAAGTTTTTTTTCGTAATCCGCTCTGCGATCTAAAATTCAGGGCGTTTTCAGTCAATACGTAACACCACATGGAGACAAAACCGCATGCTGTCCGTACTGAAATATTACGAGTACTGTACTTCATGGGCCACATCCGAGTTCATGAGGGCAGTTTTTGGGAAGCAAAATCGTGTGGGTTGTAGATGAAGTAGGTGAAGATTATCCGAAGTTAATGTCTTTTTGAGCAGCTCGCTAGAATCTAGAGAAATTCTTTCGAATATCCCTCAATATCGCGGGCAGGTCGATTAAACTTGAACTTTTTTTTTTAGAGGAAAACCGTGGATATTACAAGCCAAATCCGAAAGCGATCCGAAAAAGACTCGAGACGCTCCATTCCTCGACAAGTACGCCCAGGAGCGATGGGACTGCGTCCTCAACTACATGGCGTCCGAAAGCAGCCGATCGGGGTCGAATCAGGTCATGAGCAAAGGTCAAAAGGATCTCACGGTCTCTCAAGACACGAAGCTCGTGCTTCGAACCGCCGGTCTCATGGTTTGCGATGACGGAAGCGAAGAGCGGATCACATCAGCCGGGTTCCAGTTTCTGCTGATGCCGAGACCCGAGCAAGTTTGGTTCTTCTTGACCCATTACTTGAGCTTGGTGGAGTCTCGGTATGCGTGCGATGTGTCGGTGTGTCTGGGCTTCCTGTGCGAGTTATCTTTGTCTGACCTGGGTCAGGTGAGATTCTACTGAAGGATCATTTTAGAGTGCTACGAATTGTTGGCAGGAAGCGGTATTGCTTTGTTAAAAATCAATGAAAAACCTCATGGTCCATGGAAGAATGAATTATTATGGATAATCGAATGCTTCTGTCCCTTGTTTCATGTGCTTTGATCCGTTTCGGTTGAAAGAACTCGGTGGAGAGATTATTTGAATAGTGCTTGTGAAGCTGTACAGATTGGTTTTAATTAGTCCGAAAAGTTCCCCAAATTATTCCGTTTCAAGTCCCGTGCAGAAATCTTGAAACATTTCCCCGAATGCGTCTTGCTAGATGCTACCGTCCTGCAAATTGTAACTTTTCTCATTTCAGTGCTACAATAGCGAGAAGTTTGGGATTGAGTTGCAAACTGTGTTGCAACACCTGCGAGAACTGGGCATTGTCTACCAACGGAAGGTTCGTCCGGATGGTGATGGTGCTTTGGTGGTTTGTCGTCGTCCCTTTCCTTCTGCTTAGCTCCAGTAAAAATTTAACTCTGTTTTTCTCCTTCGTTCCATTTCCATCCCTATTTGCAAATCCTGCTTGAAATTTTTTGAATTTCCGTTTATTGATTTCCTTTTAGGGTTTGGGTACGGTTTTCTGTTATTTTCTTCGTAGTCACTAATCTGGTCCAGTACTAATTTTATTTCTGGTGACATCTGTGAAGGAATTCATAAAGCATGACCTTTACATAAAATATCCTCTTTTTCTCGTAAGTTCTTGTGATGTTTTTTCTGATGCATCAATATTTTGATGGCAGTTTTGGAATTCTGAGATTTCAAGTTTTTTGAGCGATGATTTTTGAGATCACTCATACCAAAGTTTTTCTGTGGTTTTCTAATCGTGCTCTTGTATTTTTATATCTACTCCGTCATGAAATTCTTTTGGTTATCCTGATACTTTAGGTGACTATATCCATTTCACTTTTCAATAATTTTCTTCAGTTTTGGTTTTCCTTCAGGGACGAACGCATGCAGTTCTGTATTGGGTTCCCTTTCTTGGGCTTATAATTTATTGCGACATTGTGTGATTTTAAAAATGTTACGTTCTGTAATTTGCATTGCATTTAGTCCACGCTTCATTGTGACAGTAATTTTAGCTAAAACTGTTACCTTCATGGTTGTGCAGTGCTATGAAGTCCTTTTGCTGTTTCGTGTAAGGTCTGTTTTTGTGTGTGATCATGAGAGGACGTATGATTTGTTTCAGAGGAAAGAGGGACTTTTCTATCCGACTCGTTTGGCGCTTGGTTTAGCGTCCGGGTTGAAGAACTCCAGTGTTTTGTCGTGGCGAGAAGCGGAGGAAGCTGCTCAAGCGGGTTTTTTGATAGTCGAAACGAATTACCGAGTATACGCTTACACAGAGTCAGAACTGCCGATTTCATTGCTCGCCATGTTCACGGAGATGCTTCACCGGTGAGTTGATAAAATTAATTATGCATTTTAATTTCCGAATTTTCTCGAGAATGGGTACCCAACCAAAATGCCCGCCTACCAAAAGAGCCCCCTTGCCAAAAGGCCCCTATATTCGAGAACATTCGGAAATTTAAAAGCATAATTAATTTTAATTAACTTGCCAAAAGACCCCCCTCCCCCCTTCGGGCTTTTGGGAAGTGGGGGCCTTTGGACGACATTCTCGAATATGATCTGCAGCTTATGAAATCGGCTTGAAAATCTGGGTATTTTACCGAGTCTTATATTTTTTATGTTGAAGATTTAAATAATGTGGAGGTGGGGGGAGTGAATCTTATTGTTATCTGATGACATGAACGACAAATTTTTGAAGCTTGAAATGTTTTCCATTAGTCTAAAATATTCATCATATTGTATTGGCGTGAACGCGATTTAACGATATTCCCTGACTTTTCTGTAGATTTCCGGGGATGGTGGTTGCAGTACTTACGAGAGATAGTGTGAGAATGGCTCTGAAAATGGGACTCACTGCAGCACAAATCGTCGATTTTTTGAAGATGAATGCTCATCCGGAAATGCGGAGAAGAATGCTTGCTTCAGGAGGTTCTTCTGTTATTCCGCCGACAGTCAGCGACCAGGTTTTTTCACATTTTCGTGTACAGTATTTTCCATTGACGAATGAAAGCATGATGTTGAAACTTGTTACACTTTAGATTCATTTATGGGAGAAAGAAAGAGACCGAATAACTTTAACTGATGGCGTGGCGTACAATCAGTTCCTATCTCTGAGCGAATACGAAGCTATGCGAGATTTCGCCCGGGAAAAAGGAATAGCTATCTGGGAATCGAACCAAAGAAAGACGGTGGTTGTTGCCAAGGAAAATCATGAGGAAATGAAGAGGTTTTGGCGGAAACACTCGCGCCCGTGAAATCGAGTTTTACGGATTTGTTATTGATTGGCTGTTTTGTGATTACATGCAGATGATTTTGGGTGATGAGACCTTCTTTCCTTGATGTATTTTACAGATTTTCGTCTACAGCCTTTTTTTTTCTTTTACGGTGATGTACTAGAAGCTATTAGTGCGCAGGACACTTGAGGGATCTGGAAAACCGCTTCAGGGCATACAAGCGTTCTCGCTTTTGTGATGAGGTGTACAAGCGTCGACGACGAACTCCGAAAATATTCTGGCACATGGTGAGTTGTCATTAGGTATTAGATTTTGAACTTTCTTATACTGTTTTTTCCTGCAAAAAAAACTGACTTCGACAGGCGCAAATGTGATAAGGAGAAAGAGCAAGAGACGGGCAGACAAATACACAAGATGGACGAATTGCTGTCTTTGAAGGGAGTGGATGATATGTTGAAAACTCCGCTGAGTTCTAGGTCACGAAGCAAGGGGCTGACCGACTGTAGTTTGATTCCGCGTCCTTTTGTGAATTGTAGGTATTCTCTCACACCGAAATATGATGTCAGCCAGAACTTCAAATATGCTGGGTTCTTCTCCCTTCCCATACGCGAATGCCACCTCTACCCGATCTCGTTTCTTGGCGATGGTGAATGCACCACCTTCGTACCGAAGAACCAAACTGGGCGGCTGGTACCTGGTTGTTTGTGGGCGTGCATGTCGTTGGACGAAGCGGGTCTTGAATGGCTGAGTAAAGCACTAGCGCTGCACGCCGAGGGCGATCCTGCCCCCGCGGTTGAAGGAACTCTATGCTGTCAATTGATTTCGAACGACCATTTGATAGAAAAAAAGTATTCACTGGTCAACATTGAGGGATTATCGCCTTGTTCGGACCCAGTCATTGGCTTCCACTTTGCATTCGTCGAACCCCCTTGTGTCTATGCGGTAAGCCAAGCAGCCCCATCCGCCGTTGTACCCACCTTTGCTGACTTGAAGGATGGAGAGTATTGGGTCATTCTCGATGGGAAGCTCGACGTGGCACACCATACTAACCCTGGGTTCTTGGAAACGCCAAAGAACGCCCACTTCATAAACGAAGTGCCTTGGGAGTTTGCGTCGACTAGTTTCTTCACAAGTGGTTCCCACATGCAAACGGAGTTTTCAGATATTGCGTTAAATATCCGACGCTCCCGTTTCGCAGACTTCGGACTTTTTTCGCCGCTGCCCTCTTACCGAGAGCTGGTGGACGAACTACACGAAGACCTTTCCATGCATTCCTGGGTCTTAGCTGACGAGCTGAACAGCGATACGTTGCTAATGAAGCTCAACTGCCTGGCTTTACTATGTTCCCTCCGTCAGACTAATGCATGGTCTCCGAATTTTCCGTGCGACGGTTTTTTGTCAGCTTTAGTCCCCTTCATGGAAATCGTGTCGGAGGAAAAGCCAAGAACGTTCATCAACTGGACTCCGATGTCAGGTGGAAACTGGCCAGTGATACCATGGACTGGAGGCCAGACTGGAACCATTCGTCTACACGTGGGGTGTCGAACCTCGCCACCAATAGGTTCACTCGTGGTGTTGCCTCGCGAGTTTTACGACGGAGAACGTACATTCAGTAAGAACTTGGCAATCTACCTGAGTATGCTCGCCCCTTGGCCCATGTTGGACATCTTGGTCGAGTTGGCCACGACGGACGGTGTGACATTCGTGAACAAGAAGGCCGTTTCGGCATTTCGACCATTCTTTGCTTTGTTTCACATACCAGGAAGCCTTAACTATGATGTTTTTGTGGGCCGCCGATCCACCGGACATGTAAGTCGGACTGACTCCGTCGATGTTGCCATGCCTGTGTTCTCTGGACCACGAGGGACGGGGCGCTTACCCCCCAGAACACGGATAATCCCCGTCAGTGACGCGGAAAATGCGGGGACCAGCCTGGTAGATTTTGTTTTGTCCTGGGTCGAGGAGATCAATATGTCGGACATCTCAATGGTCTGGAGTTGCCTAAAAGATCAAGGCATTTGGTCCGAGAACAGTGCTATTCTATCTGATTTCTTCTCATTTTTCGGAGTGCGCACAGGCTGCGCTCTCGTGACGGACAGCCCCGTTGTGAATAGTCCAGACGCAAAGATGCGGCAAGGCTTTTTTCGAGATGAGGTCCGAGGTTTGCGAACGTTCGATTGGTGCGGATTCGAAGTGCCCAAGATTAGGAGTGACCCAGCAACCGAATACCCGTCGGTTTCTGACTTTAATTACTGTATGTATCCCGTGAACCTCCCATGCCTGTCTGGCGTCATGAAGGGCGCTCGGCGGATAAAGCAGAGCAAAAAGGTGAGTTCTGAGCAGTGTTCGGCGTCACCTTATGGTGTCCAATGGTACGACCCCGAGTACATTTTGAGGGGCATAGTCGGTCACCGCCTCCTGGCAGCAAGCGTACAGGCCGCGTTTTCTGTCTTCTCGCCGACCTACACGAACTCAATGCGGACCGACAATCTACCGATGCACTGGATAGAACTTGCTAATTGGATTTTTCGCCCTCATGACCTGCGCGAACCGGTTTTGCACTGTCTGGTGAGCAGTATGTTGGGGAGTTTGACCGGAGAGAGTTGCCTGGCAGCAACGACGTCGGGTTCGATGTTGGGCAATTCGCACCGCGGACCGAGAACGTCGGTCTCCCCGTTCTACAATTGGGATTACTCGAGCAACTTCCAGGAGCTGACGATTGGCGCGTATCCTGATGCTTACTTCCAGCTGGCATTTCTTCACGTCCCACTTGAGTACTCCAGCTTTTTCGACAGCATTAACATACAGAAGACGCACGCATTGAAAGTTAGTGCATGTGCGTTCTTCGCATCAGCTCGTGAGAACGTGGGCCCCGCCTGGCTCAAGCAAAAATCTCTGAATAATCTCCAACGTTGGGAGAAGACGGAATCTGTCGATGCATTTAACACACGCCTCATGTTCTTCCTTGGAGGGAACTGGGGCATCCGTACATTGGACGACGCCGAGTCCGTGATACCCGGTTCTTTGCCAGATAACAGTTGGGCAACCGTCCGACCCTTCTGCGACACAGGTAAACGTGCTTGGCCAGTTGCGGGTATGCCAACAACGATCCTGGTGAACACTGAGTGTTGGCCGCGGTTTGATTCCTTCAAGATGAAGCCTCTAAGCGTTCAATTGCTGAGTACGTCGGACAGACTCTCACTTAACCGTGCGACGGTAATCATGAATGGGATGGATGGTTTCGGGGCTCCAGCCTGGACGTTTGACTGAGCGACCTTTCATTAGAATATCCAGATGACGGTCTGCTAGAACGGAGTGTGGCTGGCGTGGCCGAGGCGAATTGTTGAATTGTACAGCTCAAGGCGAAAAAGGTGAGCTGCATGTATAGATAGCATCATATCGAAGTACTGCGATATTTCCATTATTTACGTTGAAGATAAAGTCCGTGCCATTAGACTCCGTCGGCATGTTTTCCTGCTTCCATCTTATGATATTGAGACTTCTTCTTTTAATTGTGCGAAACATTTTAAGGCCGTCATCTGGATATTCTATTAACTATTCTGATTTTTTCTGCACAGTGTTCGATTTACGACGTCAACTCAACCGACGATTTTTGCGAATTTCCGGAGAATTTGAAAAGGAATTTGGAATCTTAAAGATTCGCTGAGACGTGCAGTCGGATGAGGACGCAGTACGCCGAAAGTCGAAGATACCTGAGGTTCTTTTGAAAAATTGAGAGAATTATTTTTGGGAAAATTACCGATTTCTTCGTGAACAATGCACCGATTGGAATAAAAAAAATGAATGAGCTCCTTCGTTCGTTTTTTTTTCCTTCTTTTAGGTCTTCATCGAACATTCAACCAATTTTTGGCTGAATTTTTTTTTTTTAATGAGTGCGAAAATATGTTCGTTATTCAGATCTTACAAAATATGCCTGTTTTGTTCGTTCTCTCTATGCGAACTCTTGCTCTTCCGAAATGTGAGTCACCATTTCAAATTTGTTTCTCACCTTTGGTGAAAATTCGATCAAATGTCATCTTATGAAATTTCCTGGGGTGATTTCAAAATTGATAGCGTTTGCCACCTATCTTATTCTGCAGAGTCCTGTCAACTTTTTCTGATATTGTTGCTAAATGTCGAATGGATTCTTGGAGAGGTTGAACCAATGAGGATGAGAAATTCATGTGCGGATTAAAATCGCCAGTAATCCGGTGTGACTTTTTTTATGAAACCGCAATAGTGACAAAAAAGGTTTTTGCTCTTAGAAATTTCTGTCTGTGATGGAAGTCAGAAAAATTCTGAGCATCATGCTAAGAAAAGGTGAAAATTAAATTTTAAGCTTGATTAAATACACTTCCATGTACAGTGACACTGAAGTAGAAAAATGTCGGTTGGCAGTGAGTGTGTTGGGTATATTGGTAATGCAGCATACAATTTTAAAGCGCAATATTAATTTACCTACACATTTTTGATTAACACTGCTTGAAACCAGAAGGAAGTATAATCTTGAAACAATAGGCTCTGGTCTGAAGCATCTTCTGTTCCAAACCAGCGCAGCATGTATACATGTTAATTTTCAGTATGGTACCCCTGTTCATTGCTTTGCGTACTTGCGTACACTACAATATTTCCCTACCAAGAAAAAAATCCTTCAGCATGTGGACTATGTAAAACACCAATGACAGAGTTATCTGTTTACTGTACCGTACTATTGCTCCGAGTGTATGGTACCACAATTTGTTCAATTGACCCGGTCTTTAATTGAAAGTATGATTTTTACTTGCTGTCCGGTATTATACTTTTCTAGACGTAAACTTGGCAACGTCAGTTTAGCATTTCGCCGGATTCCAAGCGGGTTCAGTCGAGGTTCCTCGCCGCGGATTTTTCTGTCGCAGTGTACGTCATATTCATTTTTGAGTGAGAAATGTGCAGTTCCTCTAGATGAATGCCACATTGACGTTGTGATGGATGTTATTTATCATACACCCTTGGGTCAAATCCATGCCCCGCAGAATTTCGTTTCGGTTTTTGATCTGAGTGATGCCTGCCACCGTGGAATCAGGCTCAGCTGTGAAAAATTCTCTTTTTAATCCGTCGGGATGGAGGAGCTTGTTGATCTTCACAGTCCTTGCGCTGACGTGCATCGCCGGCTTCTCCTCTCGACTCTTTGCTGTGATCCGGTTTGAAAGTATCATTCATGAATTTGATCCATGGTAATGCCTTTTCCTGTCCTGAGTGTTCATTCACTGTTCAGAAAAAAAATTTTGGTTTATAGGTTCAACTATCGTTCAACTGCTTACATGGTTAAGCATGGATTCTACAATTTCTTGAATTGGTTCGACGAGCGGGCATGGTACCCGCTGGGACGCATTGTCGGAGGAACTGTGTATCCTGGCCTCATGGTAACCTCCGGCTCGATTCATTATGTCCTGTCATTGCTGAATATTCATGTTCATATACGGGACATTTGTGTCTTTTTAGCACCTATCTTCAGGTATGAATTTCGATCAGTTGTTTTGAGAGAAAAAAGATTCTAGTCTTGTCTTCCTACTTTTCAGCGGATTGACCGCATTATCCACGTACTTTTTGACGAAAGAGCTGTGGACTCCTGGAGCAGGGCTTTTCGCAGCTTCTTTTATCTGTATAGTGCCCGGGTACATTAGCAGATCAGTAGCCGGCTCTTACGACAATGAAGGCATTGCCATATTTGCATTGATGTTCACTTACTATCTGTGGGTAAAATCTGTGAAGACCGGATCGTTATTCTGGGCGGCAAGCACAGCATTGTCATACTTCTACATGGTATCAGCGTGGGGTGGATATGTGTTCATCATTAACTTGATCCCCCTGCACGTGTTCGTCTTGCTTGTTCTTGGAAGATACTCTGCCCGATTGTACACAGCGTATAGCACTTTTTATATCCTTGGAACCATTCTGTCTATGCAAATCCCATTTGTTGGGTTCCAACCGGTGAGGACTTCAGAGCACATGGCTGCTGCAGGTGAGTTCACCAATTTTTTTTTGCTCTGCTTTCGTAGTTCAGTATCGTACTTGCGCGATTATTGAAATGCTTGCCCGATTTTAACTTTCAAAATTTAGAATGCTTGTCAAATTCGTACCATACATATGCAATTAGAAGTCCAGTTTCGGGTGGTCTGGAATGTATCCCCATTCGAATATTTATCTAATTAAACTTATTTCTGCCCTATGATGATTAGTTTGAGACGTACATATTCTGAACTAAATTCGAAAAACTGACACAAGATAGGTGCTCTCCAGGGTAAAGGGCTAATTTTATCTCAGTTTTATGATTGAAAAATGTTACTCGTATCATGTGTCGATTCTCTTTCATTTTATTGGTGCAATCTTCGGTTCCTGCTGTGAAATTTATGTTCTGACAAATAGTGGTTCCTTTTTTTCTTCATCTAATTAATGTTTATTATAGTTTGAGTGACAGAGGAAATTAGGTGTATCTAAAGATGGATGGTTTCTTAAAGTCGGTGAAATATAGAAAAGAGAAGATTACGGTTTCCTTGAGCTTTTTGAGGGTACGCAAATTAGTATATTACTAGTCGCACCTTCTGTTATTGTGTCAAGGGTTCTCTTAAATGTCTTCCCCCCCTTTGGCCGAGTCGATTACTAATTTTTTTCTTCGAAAATGTTTCTTCAAAATAAGGTGTCTTCGCTTTGATCAACGCCGTCGCCCTCTTGAAGTTCCTTCAAAGCTACATGACGAAAGCAGAATTCCGCCACTTCGTGTTGATTGGGTCGTCCGTGGCGGCTGGGACGGTGTTCGTTGCTGTTGTTGGACTCACGTATGCGGGCATTATCGCTCCGTGGAGCGGTAGATTTTATTCGCTCTGGGACACCGGTTACGCCAAGATACACATTCCCATCATCGCGTCAGTATCCGAGCATCAACCCACGACGTGGTTCTCGTTCTTCTTCGACTTGCACATCTTGGCAGCAGTATTCCCTGTCGGCATTTGGTACTGCATCAAGAACATTAATGATGAGCGAGTGTTCAGTGAGTGTGCATTTTTTTTCTTCAGCGTTTTTCCGTGGGTATTCATGACTCCACCTTTTCCTCAGTCGTTTTGTATGCTGTGAGTGCGACGTACTTTGCGGGTGTGATGGTCCGACTTATGCTTACTCTCACGCCAGTGGTCTGCGTTTTGTCCGCCATTGGATTCTCGCAGTTGTTCGAATTGTATTTGCGAGATGACGAATCGGACAAGAATAAAGAGAGTGGCGTGGATTCGGAAGACGAAAATTCCGACGAGCACAACCACAAGATGTACGACAAGGTATGTGGTTTTGTCCTATTCGTTTGATCATGAATACAGTATCTTGTATACGACTTACATTTGCTGCCTCGAAAAGGTTTAAAAGAAGTACGTGGGATTTTTCTGTTCAACCTCTTTTGTCCTCTTAAGTTTGTCTTCGCTGTTGCATACGTGATCCCTCTACTATTTCTTCAGGTTTGAGTTGAGGAAGTTCGGCTCACGTTTAGCCAGCTTTGATCAGTATGGATGGCTAGTTTAGTTTATTTGTAGACGCCTGTCTAACGCTAACGCATGTCATATATGGTCGGGCTTTGAAGTGGAAATAACCCGAAGTTATTGCGGCAGGTTACAGATGTATAGCAGATTTTTCATGAATATTTTTTTTTCCTTCGACAGCCTGGTAAGTTGAGGAAGATGAAACACGAGAAGCTGAAGGACGGAACCGGTGGAGGAGCAGCGGGTAGTCTTGGGGTTAATTTGCGCAGCATTGTCGTCGTTGCCATGCTCATGATGCTGATGATGTTTGCCGTCCATTGCACATGGGTTACTTCGAATGCGTACTCTTCACCTAGTATCGTGCTTGCTACGTATTCAAATGAAGGGTAAGTCTCGAGATGGAATAAAGTATAAGTGAAAAGTTCGTCGAATAGATTTCCGTGAGAATTTTCTGAATAAATGATCTGTTTGTAATGATTGAATTAATATTTCGTTCAAGTGTTGGCTGCTTTCATTTCGGCAAAATTTTCGTGCTTTTTCCCCGGCTTATGCGATTTTTTCCTCTGAAAATAGCTGGATTAAGTTATTAACCTGGTTTTTGCTGAATTACGGTATTTCTTAGGAAATTATTTGAAACTTGTCAAACTTGCCATTTCTTTACGTTATACGGCTTTTTTATGTGTTTTATGGACGAACGTACATGTATATCTGACCGATTCATTTATGAGACGTCAATTTATTTCAATTTTCCAATTATTTTTCTTTGAATAGATCAAGATACATTCTGGACGACTTCAGGGAAGCTTATTTCTGGCTTTCGCAAAACACTGCGGAGGACGCAACAATTATGAGTTGGTGGGACTACGGGTATCAGATAGCAGGGATGGGAAATAGAACGACTCTGGTCGATAACAACACATGGAACAACAGCCACATAGCGCTGGTGAGCATTGCTTTCGGAATTACATATGGCGCAGTGTTGTTTAGCGCTTTTTTTTTCTTTCGTTGCTTTACCCGTAATGTTATGTACTTCCTATTAAATTACACTTGAACCTTGATAACTCGAACATCCCGAAGTCAAATACCTCCCTATGCCACTTTTTCAATTCCTTTTCTGTGTTATATCAGAAACAATGCATGGAAAACCTCCCTAACTCGAAGGCTTTCTCCCCTCAAACCTTCATTAGTCGAATTTTCTGGGGAATTTTGGATATTATTTTATCGACACAGGAAGGTGGAACGCAATGAAAATATAACTTGATGCGTTTTGAAAGGAAGTGAGGGAATAACTCGGCATATTAACGCTTGTCTTAACTTCAGCGTCCTGTCAACTTATCAAACCGTAGCAATTCACGGCCCAGAATATCACCATTTTTAATTTCCTGTAAATCTTTCTTTTCCCCAATGAAAATGGGTGCTTTCCTGGCTTTTTTCTGGTTCCTTTAAGTTTGAATTGAAGAGGACTGTCACACTAAATTCGAAGCGGAATGCTGCGTGTAATAATTAAATCATGATGGCAATGGAATACTGTTGAAAGCGTTGCTGGCTTTTTCGTGCTTAAGATCAATTTGTCCTCCACTGATGTTTTTGCATTTTTCACGCATGGTCATCAATTGACCACCTGTTGCTTTTGATACGTGCTGGCGGTTTTTTTCTCACGATGCTCTTCTCTTGAATTTGGCGAGTCATGTACCATCTATTTCAATTAGATTCGATCAGGAGAATGGGGGAACACATTTTCATTTTTTTATCCTGTGATGCACGAGTATCCGATCCTCGAGCCCGGAATAGGCGTTGAGAAATTTTAAGGTTTTTCTCTGTCGGTTATTGAAATGATATGGTATCCATTTGACCTGTTCTTCAAACGGAGAATCAAAAATTGTCACGGACCCGGCGCTAAGCTGTTCTCCATTTTTGTTTAACTTCATTTAGCTCTTCCTAATTACTACTTCTTCATTTTCTGTTTATTTTTTCAGGACACCGTGTGAACAGAACAATACAGTAAAGAATAGATTTTGTCGACTACTTATTACGAGACTGATGACAGATGCTTGAAACATGCTAAGGTTGATTACCCATCAAATTTAGGCATTTCTTAAGAATCTTAACACTAGGTTAGGTTTAAAAATGGGTCTGATTCACGCTAGACCGACTATATTCCCGTGTGAAAAAAAAATTATTTTTGAGTATTATCTATAGATTTTTTATTTCTCAATTACAGTGTCGCCCGTTGGGTAGATACAGTACAGGAATCACTACAAGGGAGGGGATGCGAATAAAGAATTACCTTACTGCTTGCTAGAATCAAATTATTCTCCGGAATTTGGTTCCAGGCCAGTCTTCCTTTTTCTTCTACTAGCTTGATGAAATTATTTTTCATTTTTCGCAGGTTGGCAAAGCAATGTCGTCGAATGAAAGCGCGGCTTACGATATTATGATGAACTTGGGAGTGGACTACGTTCTGGTGATCTTCGGAGGTGCCATCGGATATTCCGGAGATGACATCAACAAGTTCCTGTGGATGGTTCGGATCGCGGAAGGAGAGCATCCGAAAGACATTAGGGTACCGTTTTTTGCATGCCATCAACCGTGTTTGATCCCTTCTTTGATGCGCCGCTTTTATTTTTGCAGGAGGCAGATTATTTTACTGAACGAGGCGAGTTCAGAATTGACGCTGAAGGTTCGCCGACGCTGCTGAACTGCCTGATGTACAAGTTGTCGTATTACAAGTTTGCTGAAATGCCGGTGAGAAAATAATGATGGTTTTCAAGAAGAAGTAGAGTAAAATTTCGTTTCACCGAAGCTGTTGATACCTGAAAAAAACAGCTTGATTCGCGAGTAAAAACAGTGTTTCACTTGACTGGGTAATTGAGTAGAGAGATTTTCAAGTGACGTGCGACCGAAATCTTCGTCGATTTCGTTGTGTAAATGTTCCTAGCAGACAATGAAATTTTATATTATCGCAATTTTCATCCGGTTTTGTGTTCATCTTGTGGTTGTGTGAGCATCGTGTAGAATTTCTGTCAATTCGCAGGAACTCTTTACTGTATTATTATTATTTTTTAAATCAATTGATGTCCTCTTTCTTTTTTTTAAACTTTTTTGGCGAATTCAATGCGACTTTTACTGAATATCAAATCTATAACGAAAATTTGAAACCAATACAATAGTCACTTCACCGCTGCAGTCCATGGAATTACATCACAGTGATTTGACAATTTGCTCTATTCCTCAGGGAGATTACCGTTCGCCGAGAGGTTACGATCGAACCCGCAATGCTGTGATAGGGAACCCCGATATTAGTTTAACATATTTGGAAGAAGCCTACACCACCGAACATTGGCTTGTTCGCATCTATCGGTTTGTCCTCGTGTTGAATTTTCTCTCGACTTTGTCTCTGACTGTGGTTGAAAATTATTTCAGTGTCAAGAAGGAAGAAGATTTCAACCGGCCGGAAATTCTACGCTCCGATGTGCAGCTGAAACTCCCCCGTGTTTCCTCGAAGAAAGTGAGTCTCGGATATGCAGTATTTTGTTTGCGAACTTAACGCAGATACGTACAGTACTTGTATTACTGTAAAATCATGTTACTACAAACTTTTGTGGACTTCGCAAAAATTTCGTTATGCTGAATGAGTTTTTATAACGAGGTTTTTAAAATAAATTACGAGCAAATTTTCACATACCTGCATATAATCGATTATAAAACTTGCTTTTCTGACTTTCTCCATTTTTTATTTATTTGAAGAACCGACCGATCTTCTGAAGACTGCGAATTAGCTTTAGTCATCCATTCCATTCATTGCACAAATTTATTCAATCTCGGGGGATGATGTGAAATTTTTTTTCATTTTTGGGAGGGTGATGTGTAAAACTACTTCGAAGCATATTCGTCATTCATGCTACAAGAACGAGTCATTCACATTTTGGATCAGAAATTTCAGACTGTGCGTACCTTAGTCAGGAAATTCTACCTGGAGAAGCTACCAAACATTCTTGAAAGATTTTTTTTTAAAATGCACTGTATGGGCTCTCTGCGGCGACTTGAGAAAAAGTTGGTTATTCTGCTACTCGAACATTTATTGTAATGAGATGTTATTGCGCAGTATAATGGAAAAGGACGAGTCTGGATTCTTGATAATTAACCAGCTGAATCTTGTCAAGCTTCGGGATTTCAACTCTGGTGATTGTAAACTAAAATTGTTGATAAGCTTTGCGTAATTGAATTACAGGCCGTTTTTATTCATTTTTGCGGGGAAGTGCGTTCCTCATTCTGTAATTGAGAGTGATAATGTTCTCAGGATTTAAATTCGCAGACCATGAAGCGCAAGAAGGGTTCCATCAAGAACCGACCAGTTGTGGTGAAGGGGAAGCGGCCGGCTGTCCGCACCGTCAAAGCGTAGTGCGAATTTCAAGACATGTGATTCTGCCATCTTCTTGGTTCCCTTGACTTCCGGATCTCTGCTTTTATTTTCTGGTTCTCATCATCGTTTTTAATTCCATGGTCCTGTGTCTCTCCTTGAATGGAAAAATCTTGTGCCGCCCTGATGGGATTCTTTTGAATCGTTGTTCTCGCGAGTATGTTTTAAGAATTGTTTTCTCGTTTTCATGGCGTCAACTGGGAAGACGATTGACGTTGTTGAGGACTGGTTTACTTTATTTATTTGTTTCGTGATCCATTATTTGCCGGCTTGTGCGTTATTTATCGAATCGCATGCGAGTTTTACGTTGGCGCATTGTTACAAACGTGTGTCGTGTTGGCCTCGGAGTGCCGCTTGATTGTTTGTTGGTTTGTTTGATTGTTTGTTCGAGGCGTTGTGATGCATTCATTCCTTGTGCGCCGCGTGATGCTCATTCTTCGGTAAAAACGCGAGTTTTTGATGAGTTGATTTGTTTCTACTCGGCCGCGAGAATGATGGAAGGTGTACTGTTCTTCGCGGCCGTCACGATTTGCTTTGGGTATAACTTGGTAACTGATCATTCATGATAACCCCATTAGTTGGTAGCTACAAATTGCTTGTTTGAACTGTCGCTGCAATATGGCGGTCTTGAGTCTCAAGAGAGCCCTATCGAGGGTGTTTCAGAAGAGATACCATAACTACATACGTTATCTCACGTCTGCCGAAAGCATCCTTGATTCCTCCAAGTGAAAACTTTTCTTAACCCTTCATGCTCAGTACTTTTTCAAAATGTACAGTACTTCTCCTAAATCCATGAAGGAACCGAACAGGAATACCAAGAAGGTATAAAAGACTTTCCTGTCCAACTGAACAAGTTTTCAGAGATGCCGGAAGAGAAATTGATGGTCAAAAACGTTTTAATGTTGAAACAGCATACTGTAAAACGAAGAACAACAATGGTTGGGCGATGGTTGTTCCGATCTAAGTGCACTTTAGCCTCGCCTTTTATATGAATAGTCTTCATAAATATTAGTAATCGCAAGTTACTGTATTATTTACAACGAAAAGCGCACAAGGAATTTTAATTTCTTGAATTGCACTTTTTCTGTTGTAATTCTTAATGATAAGCAGGAAGGGTCATCTTGAAGGATTGGTAATCATGTTACGCCGTAATGGGAATTATTTTTGGTCATTGATGACGAAACGAAATATTTCATGAATGAATCCAGTATACCTTCGCTTTAGCGTGCACTGTTCTAGGTTCACTATTGATCATTTTTGTTGTAGCTTTTGAGGGCCGGCGTGTTTATGGGGTGGGCACCTTTGAGGTACTACCAAGCCTAAGTTGAGCAGATGAGTGCTGGATTTTTTTTTTTAGTGATGAATGGTCATGGGTGGATTGTGTTATTTTTTTGTTTTGTGGTGGGGAAATGAAGACTCTGCTGGTGAGATGAAATTTGATTTCATGTGATTTATTATTTTTTTATTCACAGAGGGGAAATATAATTTCCTCGTAAGTATTAGTGCTGTATGCCTTGTAAATTTCTTGTGCAGTACTGCTCTGCATAAGTTTTTTCACAGTGAGAACCCTTCTGATGTGTGATCTAGTTCCCAGAACCATTTAATTTTTTTGCAGAATTATTCTAGGCTTTGGAAAACTTCCTTGTATATTCGCCGCAATTTTGAGGACGTGTTTTGTGAAAATGGTTTATGTACCAGCAGATTGTTGAGCAGGCTAGAATGAACTGTAGGAAACATTTGAAGACAGCATCAATATTAAGCTGCAGGATCAGGTCATTCCTGCTGAATCCACAATTCCTGGTGATCCCTCTCCAGGCTAATTCAGAAGCTTGTTAATGTACTGTACTGTAGTACAACACTACATGGAAATTCACTTGTTTTATGAAATAATTACCCTTCAGGCTATAATTTCCTTTTACGGGTATCTGATGATTTCGTGTAGCTTTTACTGTCAGGTTTTATTCGATTGCCGATTCGTTTACACCAAAATAGTTTTCTTCTGCTATGCAATACTGTATTTGAGGTTTTATAGCGACATCTAGCCAAGCTCTGTCACAAGTTTTGGCGGCCGTACTTCGTCGGGGAAAAATACCCAATCCTAGGCGTATTCCAGGAAGAAAATGGTATTGTTATGCAACTATTTTTAGTGATGTGCTACACTTCATTCCATGCGTTTCTCGGGCTGGTATGTCCAAGAATTGATGAATGTTATCAGAGTATGCTTTGAGAGATTTTTTCCTGCCTCTACGCCTGACGAGGTGTCAAGCCTTCAACCGATGAAGCAGTGTTACGGTGGAAAATGATGCAATCGAGTATCGACGGATGGTTAATAGCCTAATCATTTGTATTTGCGGGGAAATTCTTCAAATATTGTGATTCATAGTATGTATTGATAAAATATTCCGCATGTGCTGTGTGCTTGGATTCCTCGGGAAGTGTCAATTATCCGAACTTGCCGGGGTGGATCCGCTAAGAAGTATCTTGTTTTGTTTGACGGAAGGATGAACATCTGATTCGTAGATCAATGGCTCCGACTAAGAAAAGAGACAAGCATCGCAGTTCGAATAAAAATGTTCAGTCGAGAGTGCGAACGGATGAAGCTTGTGTCGTTGCGCAGAAAGCTGTTGTTGATGAAGTGAAGGCTGCAGTTCGAGGTGAGCCATTTTTGTACTTCCCTCGAATGATTTTCATGTTGAAGTGTGCTCATTTCGAAGGATCGCCGAATGCGTCTGCATCTGAAAAATATGTTCGAAAATCGAAGAGCCGTGGAGACCCTCCATCGACCGCTGCACTCCTGAAAAAGGTGGTTGATCGATTGATTTCTTCGAAATTAATTTTTATAGAATTGAGTTAAGTACACCCAGACAGAATGGAGCCAGCAGAAAGCACCCATGACGACTCGTATCATCGAATCACATATTGGGTTTTTTTAAACTTGGTTATAAATTTAGGTGAAAAGGAATACTTGACTTCTATTACCATGCTATGTGCACTGAAGAGGAAAATATTTCTTACTGGGCAAATGTTCTGACGTTGAACGATTTCGTTTTGTGCGTTTATGCTTGCTGCTTTTCTCCTAATGCGTTCCAAAATTTTTTATTAGGTCAACGAATGCTTGGACGCCTTTCAATATGAACTCGCCAAAAAGTTCTCACAGCGATCGGTCGAGTCGGACCCGAATAATTTGGAAGCTTTAGAAATGCACGCTGTTGTTCTGACCGAGGTAATTAAATTTCAGCTAGTTGGGCATGTTTAGGAGTATTCATTGTGAATTGATGCTTCTTGGATGTTATCTATAGTGTGGAGACGTGGATGGCGCGAAAGTTTTCTACGAGAAAACAATTGCTCTGAAGCCCGACGAAGGTTACTCGAAATATTTGGGCCACGCTCAACTTGTGGACGGCATTGAATCTTTGAATTCTTACAGTAAAGCTATCTTGTTGATGGAAAAAGCGTTGGCGGATATTGATGACTCTTCTGAAAACTCCGATGAAGATGTGAGACAAGTCGAAGAAACACTGCTAGATTTCAATACAGTACTTGACGAGTAATGCTTTTTCGTCATAGGATAGAGAGGAGGGTGAAAACCTCAGTGGCACTCAGTTGAAAACTCAGTTATCTTCCGCCCATTGCTCCATTGCCGAATTGTTTATGACTGACCTATGCGACGAACCAGAAGCCGAAGGCGAATGCAAGAAGCACATCAATCAAGCAATCGAAAGAGATCCAAAGAACCCGGAAGGATACCAATTGATGGCGAGCTTCTGTCTCGTCAAGGCCGATGTTGACCTCGCCAGAGACTTCATGACCAAGTCCCTCAACTTGTGGCTTGACGAACAGAAAGTTACCGTCTCCGGAGCGGCTTGTGCGAAATCCGATCCTGTGTTAATGTGCTCATTGCCTCGAAGCACGCGCTTCAGTTCTGCGAAATTATGCATAGAATTGGACATGTGGAAAGAAGCCATTCAGGTTTGTTACACGTGTTTGTCAATTTCGTTTGTATCATGGGAAACTCTTCGTATTAGCATTTTCGACTCTGAACTAAGAATTCGATGTTTTTCTCCGTAAAATAATAACCAGGCTTTGAATGTATAGTACATTACTAGAAAAGTGCTTACACATATTCTATAAATCAGGATTTGATTTCACTGAAAGTTACCAATAATCATTCGGGATCTATTTAAAATGTCAATGATGCTTAATAATAATAGGTGCTTAATGTCGCTTTCGCACCTTTTACAGGAAGCAGTACAGTATACACCTTTTTTAAGTAACCTCTATTCTTAATCGCTTTAAATCTACGTTCGAAAGAACTTCGAATTTTATTGCACTAAATGTAATGTCTTATAGGGAAAAGGCATGTGGATTTGTAGTCAAACTGACCTTATTTTAAAAATTGAATGATATTCCAGATCTTGGATGTACTAATTGAAGAGGGGGACGAAGATGCGGATGCCTGGTATCTGCTTGGTTATGTGTACTATCTACGTGGAGAAAAGTTTTTCAAGAAGGCGAGGACTTATTTCCAAAAGGTCATCGAGGTAAGATTCGTATTTTACTGATCCTTTTATCGGAATATATGAGAAAATCATGTGTTATCTTGAAGTTGTGCAAGAAAAATGGCGAATCAGATTCGGATTTGCTCGAAAATGTGACGCAGCTGTGCGAAGAAATCGGGGTTACGGCTGCCGGCGAAAGTGATGACGAAGATGATGAAGATTGGGAGAGTGCTGATGAGGAATCATCCGATTCAGATTTGGATGAAGCTTTGCGAGAAATGGATTTGGAAAATTGTGAAAGTTGACCTTCTTGATGAGGCTCGAGAAGTGATCTTTGCGTTCATGTTCGTGCTTCTCGGAAGATTTGGGGTTCAATACATTTGAACGCTCGCTTTGGTCGAACAAGTTATTTTAAAATTCCAGATGGTCCATGGTTGGTGCTCAGAAATGTTTACCTTTCGACGTGTCCCCCGTTTTGCACTTTCTTACCTGAATCATGCTTTTCACAATCCAGAGTTTACCTGAACAAGAGTGCTATGCATGTAGTTCATTGTAGTTCATAGTTTCAGCCTGAATTTGCTCTTCGTCATTAATAATTCTTCTAATGCCGCGTTGAGCTTGAAAACGTCCATTTAAATTACTAGGTGAGAAAGAACCGTGTACATCATTTTTTATTGAGGATAAATTTCGTCTATTTGTGAGAAACGTGGGAAGGAAAGTGCGGATCCTTCATGAGTAAGAACTTCTTCAAGTAGTGGTGTCACGTCGAAGGAACATTTCTACATCGGATCTTTTCCGTGTGAAATTTAATATCATTTTTTCAACAATCGATTCTCCCCTTCCTTAGAATTTTTGTTCTTGATTGTATACGTTTGTGGTATGTCTAAACCGCCTGACGTAGTGCGGCCGGAGCCAGCTAGCGGAAAACGTAAACCCGAGGATTACCAGTTTTTGAAAGCCATTGGCGAAGGGAGCTTCTCGACGGTGTACTTGTGTCGGGAAGTTGTGGGTCGGCGTTTCTTGGCGGTGAAAGTGTGCCGGAAGAAGCTGATCATCAAGGAGAAGAAGGTCGATTATGTGAAACGCGAGAAGCAAGCATATCAGATCTTGGACTCGCAATGGAAAGAGACGTGTCCGTTTTTCGTGAAGCTCGCCTGCTCCTTCCAGGACGTCTCGTGTCTTTATTACGTCTTGACTCTGGCGGACAAAGGAGACCTTCTGCTGTATCTCAACACAAATGGAGCCATGGATCTTCCTTGTGCTAGGTGATTCTTTCACTCGTTCTTTTTAGATTATGCTGAAGCAGATGAAGTGAACTCATTGTGCTACTTCGGAAATTTTCTAGCCATTTGCAATGCTGTTGAAAATAGAAGAAGAATACTGTAGTGAAACGTGAAACGAACCCATTCTGAAAAAGTCGATATGAGCGTGCAGTTTACCTTGAATCCGGTGCTTTTAGTTACAGTTTTTAAATACATTACTGTATACTGTAATTTGAGAATTTATCGAGTTTTATGTTGTTTCATCCACTGGCTCAGAAGCAAGTGTATTCGTGAAAGATTATTTTTCTGTTTCGCTTTAGTCGGTGTTGAGTTGAGTACTGTATTACAATAGAGTTCAGATGAATTTGAGTCTTGTTATCGATTTATAGATTTTAGACTACACAAGTAGCGATGTTGAGTCCTCATAATTTTTAAAGTCACATTATTTCCGAAAAGAAAAAGAGTTATAAAGTTTTTAGTTATGTCCCTGTGTTATGCGATCTACCGTAAATTTAATTTCCTTCGTTTCTGTTCCTTAATTCTTTTGCAGTTTTTATACCGGCGAGCTGGTGCACGCCCTGGAGCACATGCATGGATTGGGCATAATCCATCGCGACGTGAAGCCAGAAAATATTCTCCTGAATTCAGCCATGCACATCAGAATCAGCGATTTCGGGTCGTCAAAGATCCTGCGGGGTCCCTTCGCTCCGCCGTCGGAGAACACGGAAAGCAACGAAGGCTCTGGAGACGGAAGCGCGGCTTCGCACAAGAGACGCATGAGTTTCGTGGGTACTGCGCAGTACGTTTCTCCGGAAATTCTCAACAACTGGCCGTCCACACCGGCTGCGGATTTGTGGGCACTGGGTGTAGTGACTTTCCAAATGCTGGCCAATCGTCCGCCGTTTCAGGCGCAAGCGAGTTACACGATTTTCCAGGTAAAAGATGGGCTTTTTTTTTCTTTTTTGCGGAGGACGATTTTAAAGAGATTTTCTTGTACTGTACAGAACTTTAAAAATTTTACTGTATGTGCTATGCGATAGTTCGCATTTTTTTGTGACGCTGCATTCAAAACGGCATAATTTTTGCGCCGTTGTGTAACCAAACGCAAGAACGGAGGATTTTGCAATTACTGTATGTTGAGGACAAACGAGAGAAGCTAAGAAAAAGGAATCTCTGGTCAATATTGTACAATTGCGTATGATTGAAAATAACTTGGAAGAAGGGTATAAATGCCATTGATCTTTGAACTATACACTATAGTCTATCCTGTTCGACAATATCATCGCTCTACATAAACTTCATATTTTCGAGGAGGTTTGAACGTTTTTTACCCCGGATACCGGAAAATTTCCCAACGTTATGTCAAAAACTTCGAAAGCTGAGAAATAAAAAGCAAAAAACATAAATAACCGAATTACCTTTTTTAATCCGATCAAGATGGTTTTCCAAGATCCAGAAAAAACATTCTTCCGAAAATTTGCTGCAGTAGTTGGAAAATTTAATCCTGGCAGCTGTATTTCAAAAACTTTTAAGAAAAATTCAAGTCGGGTTCGATTTAAATATCTAGGGGGAAAAGCTCAATCCATCCCGAGAATTTTTAACTTGAAGAACAAATCTTTTATTTCGGGATCGTAAACTGGGAGCGTAAAGTATTTATCTTTCCGTTTCCAGAAAATTTTGAAACTCGAGTACAAATTCCCGGAGAATTTCCCCGAGACTGCGCAGGACTTGATCAAGAAGTTGCTGGTTATTGAGCCGATTGAGCGTCTCGGAGCTCGCGACATCAAAGTGTATTCATCCCTGAAAGCCCACGAGTTTTTTGCGGGCTTGGATTTTGAAACCCTGTACAAGACAACGCCTCCGGACCCGGCTTGCAAGTATTCCAAGTCTTTGCTCGCGGAAGATTGTGCCAAAGATGAGGATGTCGAGCCTGGTCTGTCGGAAGAACGACTTCTCCAGGTTGGCTGGTTTTTTTTTTTTTTCTGTTATGAAAACTTGTATTAAAATGAGGTGTAAATTTTAATATTCACGTATCGATGTTCTTTCGACTTTATATCTCAGTTCTTTTCATTTTCGCGCAAATGCGTCTTGGCATGTCAAGTACTGTACTCAGTGTAACTGAACGTACTACGCGAAGGCTTTCAACTGTTATTTCAATCGGATCGAAGGTTCTCAGCCTGGAGTAGAAACAATAAAAATTACCTGATGAAGGATAACGTAACTCATGATTTTTCAACGTACCGTACATTATTCCCTGGAAGAGTTCTCTTTGCTGGGTACATTTCGTGAGCCTTTTCCAGAATGTCTTTCTTCCCAGTCGGAAATGCCAATTGATTCAAGTTTTCTGTCTGTTTCTTTCTTTTGGAGTCGTGGCGGAATTCTGATTGAGAAACTCTGGTCATTCCGAATAATCATTTGGATCATACCCTGCCTTTCTTTCTTTTTTTTTACCCTCTGGATATCTCTTCAATGTATTGTACAAGTTCCTCTTGAACAGTATAGCTGCTCGCTGAAATCAGACATTACTCGTATTGGAAACTGATTTTGACCCAACGAGTTAATTTCAGGCGTTACCTATGTAATTATTGAGCAAATCACAATGTTGTTGACGTATGGTGAAGAGGGGGGAAATCCTGAATAAAATTGTACATTCGATCAAGTCGTATTCAAACGTCAGAGCGCTTGCTTATTCTGAAGAGTGCATATTTGTTCGGGCAGGTGGAAATTATGTCAGCTCTGGGAAGTCGGAAAGAGGATCCGGCGGAAGTTCCTGTTATTCCAGCTCTGCCCAAGAGGAAACGCCTGACGGACATTTCCCCCGAGGAATGTAAGAGACGTTTGGAACAACAGAAAACCGACAACCGATGGCACAAATTCGTGCAAGGGAACCTCATCTTGAAACAGGTTCGACGTCGTCAGCGACATTTGTTGCGTTGTTGTCATTTTTTTTTATTTTCTTGGCTGGGTTAAGTAAAAGCTTGTTATTCTGGGAGCAACTTCAAAGTTGCCAACCGTCGATTACTTCTTAGAATTTTATCCAACGTCACCTGGAATTCCCAGACTCATGTAATTTTTCGTCGTGAAATAACTGAAAAATTCGCCTGGGCCCTAAGGCGTTTATAATTACTCAACGTTGCGAAAGTCAGTACTGTTCGTGTTTGATGAAAGTTTGTCTCATTTCGCCTAGGGTCTGTTGGACAAGAAGAAAGGTCTGTTCCCGCGTCGACGGATGTTCCTATTAACATTCGGTCCTCGGTTGTTCTACATTGACCCAGACCACATGGAGCTCAAGGGAGAAGTTCCGTGGAGCCGAGAACTGCGCCCGGAAGCCAAAACGACGAAAGCTTTCAAGTCGTTTGTGATCCACACCCCCCACAGAATTTACTACCTGGAGGACCCCGCGGGATTCGCATTGGAATGGTGTCAAGCCATCGACGATGTGTATGAATATTACTACGGAAAACGGGAATCCAAGGTTCCTTGAAGTTAGGCGCAAAAATTCTTCTCCCCCGGATTCCTGCTTTCCTTCTTCCTTTTCTTTTTTTCGTCGAGTGTTCTCTCGAAACTTGTAATCGCGAACTTACTGGACATTTGCTTGAGGGTCCTAGGCTATAATTCAATGTCGAAAAGTGGAGCTTGTTCGAATTTTGTAAATCGTTGGCGAGATTTAATTGTGTTTTTTTGGGTGGGAGGGCGAGATAAAAAAGACAACCGGTATCAGAATTGGTGACTGGGACTGTTGAGCGCGTCCGAAAACAGCGTTTGCTCGAAAGAGCGTGAGCCGAAAACAGCGGGAATACTTCCGCAAAACGGTTTCCTATGCGATGGATTCCTCAAGATTATTCTGACTTGTAAGATCAAATGGCAGTTCGCTTTGTCGGAAGCACGGAATATTTTGTAATCGTCTTCAGAACCTTTTTTCAAATTTCCCGAAATAATCCGAACTCATTGAAAGTGGCTGAAGATGAAAAACAAGCGAACATCTGAAGGTAATGGGGAGTATCTTGATATGCAGGAAGCGAAGAATCCGTCCAATTGAGATTTTACAGGAAAATGGAATCCTCCGCTTGTAGATCAAGTCTTTTTTACCCCGGGGCTTTGAACATCTTTTGTTTCGATTATTGCCGTAGTTATTTCCCTGGTAAATTTCAATCTTCAGACCAAAAACGCGCGGCTGTTGAACTCGGTGCGTGAAGGAATACCCTGGAGCTGTTCAGGTGAATTTTCAGGAAGAGAGCCAAGTTAATTTTTAGTAGAATCCTTACCGAAATAAATTCATGAAGAAGTTTTTTCTCGAGATCCTCTCGATAAGATAACTTAATTGATCTTGCTCGTTTCTAATTTTCATCTACGCGCGAAAAATATGCATTTATTCCTCCGAACAAGAAGAAATGAACCCGGAGTTATACTTCGGTTTACAATGCTCCCATCCCTCAGATTCCTTCAATTGAAGCGACGCTGAAAATTTTTTTTTTGTCCCTGAATGACTTATCAACATTTTTTTCAGTCGAATGGGATTTTCAAGGGAAACCTTGCGTTTAAAACCAAAAGAAACGTCACTTCAGCAGGTGTAATCGAGAGTCGGAAAATGACGCCGATGGAAAAAAATGAGCAACGTGATCAAAATGAACATCATCTCGGAGAGTTTCATGTCCATCAGTTTATGAATCGCCTGAGATTCTATGCGCTTGAAAATTCCGTCATTTTACGCTGGTTTTTCGGAATCGCGCTATTTTTTTGCGACGCACTCAACTGATCCGGCACACTCAGAAAATCTGTCACACTGAAATGCTCCTCATGAAAGCCAAAAACAAAAGGTTCACTGAATCTTTGATAGAGTTCCCGAATTTGAGTCTTCCTCGGAGGGAATCCCGAGTAGGTTTGCAGAGAGGAACATATTAAAACTCTGCCGTATGCATAGAGAAAGTTGTTGAAATTTGTTTTATTGTTGGCTTCTTTGTGTGTGTGTTTGAAGGGAAGAGGGACAAGAGAAGATCGATTCCTCGTCATGAGCTTGTGAAGTGTTACGGAACGAGCTGGCTCTTGTAATTGCACCGCGGTGAAATTGCCACTGATCTCGAGAAACGTTCACGTATTTTTTAGCCTATCGAGTACTTGTAAGAGAGAGAAAGGAAATAGTGACGCGAAGAAGAATTTTGTGATGCTTGGGTCCTTTACGGTGTGTGGTGGTGGTCAGCATTTGCGGGAGTGGCAAACAAGGCTTGTCGCGATTAGCTTTACTGCAATGCTCGCCGGGCGCCTCTTTTTTTTTCCGACGGAAAGTCAGGTTTTGTTCAATGGACTTGCTGGCGAGAAATTTGTTGTTTCGTTTGTGGAATGGTTGTACATAAGTTTTTTTTTTGTGCCGAAATTTTATCGTGTCACCGTGGGGATGCACGTTGTGCAATTACAGCTCCTGTCGATTTTGTGCAAGTCGTGTGTCTCATCTTCAGATTCATTGAACCTTGGACAAAAGTTTGCATGTTTCGTTTACTGTTCCATGAATTGCTGCGTATGGATTTCCTTCAGCGGACATTCGCTATTGCATTTTACTGTTACCACAATTACGATTTTATACCGTATTTTAAATTACAAATAGGAAATCCACATGGAAAGATGATACATTTATTCTCCTACGCATAATTTAATTTAATACAAGGTACAGTATCTATCAATTCAACTTGTACAGCAGTCCAATGGAAATTGCTGCGACATGCATCTTTTGTGGCATGGCCTGAACGAAGTTGTACTTGGTGCACAACACTTTTCTATACATGACAAGGTTGCCATGCCTGTAAATAATGTACAGGGGGTGCCACAAAAAATTATGGGGTGGCCATACGAGTTGCTCTGCCAAATAACATAAGTTGCTGCACCATGAAATTTTTTGTAGTGCAGAAAGTGTGATCCATTTGTTTCTGTCAACTTTCGATTCAGGCATCCAAGTTTTGGATTACAGGGGTGTTCACAGTGGGTCATCAGGTTATATACCTCATCCCCTCGCAGGATCTTGATAAGGGTAGTATAAAAATAATTTGCTTCGCCAATTTTGGCACAACATTACTTGGATAGGGTAACTCACTGGTTTTTTTTAAAGACAAAAACGCCTGATTTCCATGAGTAACTTGGGAAAATTGAAAAACATTGGACACTTGGGGTGAAAAATGCGTGAACATTGAGGAAATACTTGTTACAGAATTTCTGCCTGCCATTATATTGCCTCAACATGATTCAACTAACAAAAAACGGATCATGCATAATCTACATGATCATGTGAGAATATATAAATGGGGTCATTTCTGCTATTGAATCAATGGCGTTGCAGTATAAACATTTTCTTCAACTTTTCAAATCAAATCCTGAGCGTTGCTGGTTATCTACATGTGCTTTTTTTTGCTTGGAACAAAGGATTTTTTATCAGTGATTTGCAATTAACGTGTCACTCGGCATAAAAAATAAAGCCCTGGAATGGAGTATAGTTTTGCAAATAATGTATTTTACACTACATGCCAGGACCATCATCAACGGCTGTACGTATGCACATACTGATGTATACCAAAAAGTATCCCATGCATACATTTAAATTGTAGAACATACTACACTTTTTCAGGATCAGGAAAATTTTTGTCCCAGGAAGCATTAAGCATGATTTATTTATCTTTATATGCTGGAGAAGAATGACATTCAGCATTGGCTGCTTTCCAATTACATCCACAGGGAATAATTCATTTCCAGGCTTATTGGAATAATTCGGGGGTTTGTCAGTGAGGCAATCATACTGGCTTTTCGAAAATGGAAGAGAAGTGATCCAATAATTTTGTAAAAGTTGCATGTATGCTATGATACATTTCTTGGACTGCGTGGAATCTATCCTATGTGATGGTGCAGGAGATTTTCTCATTCTGGACTATGATGCGGTAATTTTAACAGTGGGGACAAAACTATGCTGGCCTGAACCGGATTCATATATTGCTCAACCAGTTCTATACAGTACACGTCTTTGTTCATTTCAAGTTATCCGGATTCCAAATTTACTATCTCGTCCTTGGTCATGACTAGTTTCCATTCGACGTGGCTTACGTCAGCCATCCTTCAGGGTGGATTATCGTACGCCAACGGTGCACCCATTGTACATCACTTTCAATCGAAGAACTTCCTGGATATTCCACGAAAGGTCCAGAATGTTCTAGAAAAACTTGCTGGCAGGTGACAGATCTTTACAGCGAACGTCATTTATTGGAAGAGCTTACATCACTTGTTTAACTCGCCTAAAGAGAGCTAGAGTTAATCAAAAACGCTAATAAAATTAAAATTTCAAAGATGATTATTTTTTCATGATATGATCAAGAAAAATCGAGAGAAAAAGATTTAAGGTTTCGCTGAACGAGAGATGAACGTAGTCAAGAGACATAGAAGACTCGACATTTTGTATCAGCATCGCCGGGTGCCGGCAGCGACTGGGTTTTCATTTTGAATCCTGAGGGGCTCGGTGAAGGTTGTCGTCCTGGACGTGGAAGTTTTGAGGTGTTGCGCATTGGTTCAACCAGCTTGCTTCTTTGTAACACTTCCATCACTATTCGCCAATATTTGTGGGTGCAGTAGGTTGAAGGCTTAGTCAAATTAATCCTTGTGATCTCATTTCAGCTTCTTCTGCGTGGACGCGTTTATCATCTTCATAATTCTGTGATCGTTTCGTGCATAATGGCGAAGGCCCCGGCTATCGGTATTGATCTCGGTACAACCTATTCCTGTGTTGGTGTTTTCCAACACGGGAAGGTTGAAATCATCGCTAATGACCAAGGCAATCGGACTACTCCGTCTTATGTTGCTTTTACGGACACCGAAAGGTTGATCGGAGATGCTGCGAAGAATCAGGTCGCCATGAACCCGAACAACACAGTCTTCGGTAAGTCGGGAATTTTTGAATTTTTATAAGTTTGTACTGTGATGAAAATCTTGTTGATACATTCGTGGTTTTCCACTGAGAAGCGAGACCTGCTTTCAATGAAGTTTTCCTTCCTTGGATGTCTGAGAAATCTTATTAAGATCATGTTCAGTCGAGTGTCCGGATTTCGTGTGTAACGTGAGTTGACTCATTGTACAGATGCGAAGCGGTTGATCGGTCGGAAATTCGAGGACAGCACTGTCCAAAGCGACATGAAGCACTGGCCGTTCACTGTCGTCAGCGATGGCGGCAAGCCGAAAATTAGGGTAGCCTATAAAGGGGAAGACAAAACTTTCTCCCCGGAAGAAATCAGCTCAATGGTGCTTCTGAAGATGAAGGAAACAGCAGAGGCGTATCTGGGTAAAACCGTTACAGATGCAGTCGTCACTGTACCTGCCTATTTTAACGACTCCCAACGTCAAGCCACAAAGGATGCTGGTACCATCTCTGGTCTGAACGTCCTTCGTATCATCAACGAGCCAACCGCTGCAGCTATTGCATATGGCTTGGACAAGAAGGTAGGGTTACTTTCATTTAAGAGGACTGTGTTTGCTGTGATGAGAAAAAGCGGATACATTCGTGGTTTTCCACTGAGAAGCTAGACCTGCTTTCATTGAAGTTTTCCTTCCTTGGATGTCTGAGATGATTCATGATTAGAACTAAGACCTTATGTTTTCCACCTTTTCATCGTGCCTTTATTACTTCAGGTTGGCGGAGAACGCAATGTTCTTATCTTCGATCTTGGTGGAGGAACTTTCGATGTATCCATCCTTTCTATTGAAGACGGCATCTTCGAAGTCAAGTCCACTGCCGGCGATACTCATTTGGGTGGTGAAGATTTTGATAACCGTATGGTCAACCACTTGCTGCAGGTGAGAAGCATTTTCACAATCAGGGTTTTCGAGTTCTACATGAAATGTTCTTGTGATAACAGGAATTCAAGCGGAAGTACAAGAAGGATATGTCAGACAATAAGCGAGCTGTTCGTCGTCTCAGAACTGCCTGTGAGCGGGCGAAGCGTACCCTGTCATCATCCACCCAAGCTTCTATCGAAATTGATTCTTTGTATGAGGGCATTGATTTTTACACATCCGTCACTCGAGCACGATTTGAAGAGCTTTGCGCTGACTTGTTCCGATCAACTTTGGACCCTGTTGAGAAGGTAAGTCTACTTCAATCCGTGTGACGATCATGGTCTAACTGAATCATTCTGGCCTACAGTCAATCCGGGATGCCAAGATGGATAAGGGCGTTATTAATGAAATCGTTCTGGTTGGTGGATCTACTCGTATTCCAAGAATTCAGAAGTTGTTGCAAGACTTCTTCAACGGGAAGGAGTTGAACAAATCCATCAATCCCGATGAAGCCGTTGCGTATGGTGCTGCAGTCCAGGTACGACTTCAGTACATGCCGAAATTCACAGGAAGCTTATGTTAAATGTTGAAAGCAAATATTTGTTGATGTGATTTAACGAAAATGTGGGGGATTTTGCTGTGTACTGTGATGAAAACTACCGGGAACATTCGCGGTTTCCACCTGAGAGTGCGAATGCATTCTTTGATTGGCTTAATGCCTTCCTTGGATGTCTGAGAATTCTTGCTTCGATAATACTTGGGCAATGCTTTCTTCGAACATTTCTTGGGTTGGGAATTAAGCTTCTCGGTTTTCTTCCAGGCTGCAATTCTTCATGGCGATAAGTCGGAAGAGGTGCAGGACCTTCTGCTTTTGGATGTAACGCCTCTTTCCTTGGGCATTGAAACTGCTGGCGGTGTTATGACCAGCTTGATCAAGCGGAATACTACCATTCCCACGAAGCAGCAGCAGACTTTCACAACTTACTCGGATAATCAGCCTGGTGTATTGATTCAGGTCTACGAAGGCGAACGTGCGATGACAAAAGATAATGTAAGACAAGCAGTTATGATGAATTTCTCATGATGTATAACGCAGTTTTACTTCTCAGAATCTTCTTGGCAAATTCGAGCTTTCCGGAATTCCCCCTGCTCCTCGTGGCGTTCCACAAATTGAAGTCACATTTGATATTGACGCCAATGGTATCTTGAATGTCTCAGCTTGCGACAAATCCACCGGCAGGGAAAACAAGATCACGATCACCAATGACAAGGGAAGACTCTCGAAGGAAGAAATTGAACGCATGGTGAGTCCATAATTCTTTATTCGTTGTGGACGCAGGCAATTGGTGGTTACCTCCATTGCTTCTTGGCTGTCGAAGTTGGGCTGTCGGTACCTTCATTCTGGCCATTGTGTCCTAAATCATGAGCTGCCGTGGCCTCGGCTGCTGGTGGATCTGCCCATATATTCCTGAACTTGCTTTAGATCTTCGTTGGTCAGTGAAGAGTGGGATAAACCATATGGGCAACAGGAATCTTCTAAATCAGAGCTTGATATCATGGGAACCGAAATTGTATGTACAATACTATGCTCTCGTGTTATCAGGTCAGAGATGCGGAGTCCTACCGTGCCGAGGACGATAAGCAGCGTGATCGCGTCAGTGCCAAGAACGGATTGGAATCGTACGTTTTCTCTATGAAGTCAACCCTGGATGATGAAAAACTGAAGGATAAAATCCCAGAGGATGACAAGAAAAAGATTTTGGAGAAGTGCGACGAAACCCTCAAGTGGCTTGATGCAAATCAGGTAATTTCATTCGTCAAACTAATGAGTCTTGAAATTGGTTGGTTCTGCATGCTTTATTACAGTATGCATCATTACTGTTGGTGTTGAGAATTCCAATTTGAACGTGGTTTTCCTTTTTGTAGTTGGCGGAGAAGGAGGAATTCGAACATAAGCAAAAAGATCTTGAAGCCATCTGCAATCCTATCATGGTGAAGATGTATCAGGCAGCTGGTGGTGCGGGAGGCATGCCAGGTGGGATGCCGGGAGGTATGCCTGGATTCCCTGGTGCAGGTGGAGCGGCCCCGGGTGCAGGCGGTGCTGCGGGTAGCGGGCCCACCATTGAGGAAGTCGACTAAATCTCGGTGTCGAATTTCTTATGCACCGCGGGACTCTTCTGTCAGTTTTCTTTTTACCGAACTAGAATTTTTTTTTCCTCATGAATTGCTTAGCCGGATGAATTGTTCTCTTGCTGAGCGTCGGACAAATTCAGTATAACTTGTCGAAGTGCGCTGTGTATTGTGTTGAGCGTGTCCACGTATTATGTCGCTTCTGATAAAAACTGCCGTCGAACTGGAAATGTCTTCGATTATTTCTGTAGGAATATGGTCAGGCACGTCCTGTCCACATCAGTTGTGGAAATTCTGTAAAAGCCACTGATTTCACCAATGAGATCCTGGTGAGTATGGGAAATTTAACGTGTTCATAGATGAACACCATGAGCATGTCGACTCATTCACATATGGAGATCAACATTTTAGTATGTTTGGTGCTTTTTCTGGGTTGCCAACTTCGGTCTTGTAACTAGGTTGAGCTTGGGATTACTGCTAATGACAGGTGTCACCAAGAAACAGGTGCTGTTGTCTTTCATTGAACAGTCAGCTTTATTTTCATTAAATTATAACTGCGTACAGTAATTTTACAGTTGTGTGTTGGAATGCATTACAGTAGTTTATAAAAGTTATCTATGCATGTGATAACCCGTTCCTTCGGGGCCGCCGGGCTGCTTACTATTACACTAGTAATGCGGTAGTATCCTTTATGCGCCACGCTCATGTCCGGTCGCGTGGTTCATCTGCGCATATCCAGCGTTGTTTACGGCGCAGTTCTGCGCTGTACACTTGATGTACGCTTGATTTTTGCCGGGGTAGAAGTACATTCGCCATCCGTAGCGGTATGGTGCTCAGTTCAATCAGAACGTTCATTCCTTCGGGGATTTCGAAACGATCTCGCTGGGAAGTGCTAAAAATGTATGTAGCACTTCTCTGCGAGTGCTATTCATTTCCTAAATCACGCTTCAATGTTTACAACGCAGTTTTATGGCTTGGCCTTCTGATCTGAAGAAATCAGTGAAGGTTTTCACGAGTTCATGTGCTCATCTTTTTCCAGAGGTCTCCGGGCGCGCAAATTTTTACTGGCTGGAATCTCGTGCGGTTCCCCGAAAGATTCGTTAAACCGTCAACGCGTAACCATGGCGGACATTGAAATTCCTGACGCCATCGAGAAGTCTACTGAGGAATTATTGGCTGAACTGGACGAAGGTCCTGCGCCATCCGCCGTGGAAACCGCTGAGGACAAAAAGAAGAAGCATCACAAGCGATCACGCGTCGGATCTGGTGGTGATTCGTCAGAGATGGTCGCGGTTCCGAATCACCATGCATCTCAGCCGAAGTTGGAATTGAAATACGGCAAGAACTCGCGGCGATCAAGGAACATTCAGAGACGAGGCGCCCCGAAAAAGGGTGAGTTCGAGTGGTGACGAGCAACCTCCAGACGCCTCTTTACTTTCTTATGAATTTCTTGGTTAGGAAGTTTCAATGTTCCTTTGCACCTTTTTTCCGCATCAATTGAGTTGCCTATAGATGTGCTTTTGTAATATTTGATTGGCTGAATGCTAAACTCGCCTTTCAGAATTCGTTATGGGGATTTTTTCAGATGAAATTTATGACTTCTGAAATCATGCATTTTGTGGAGAAGCGTGGAGGTATTTCAAGTTTTATTACCGTTCGGGTGTACCTTCACGGATTCTGAAAATTAGATGTACTAAAAATTTATGGATAAATTGCACTCTTCTGTTCCATCTATCGGCGAACGCGTTATTGAGTTCACGTCCTTTCAGTTTTTTGATCGATGGCTTTATTTGAAAGGTGGTGCTGGAGGAAAAGGTGTATGGGGTCTCCCTGGACTCTCAGAACTCAATGAGCCCGAAGAAATCGACAGAAATGATCCGAACTTTGATCCTGACGCAGTTGACGCCGCTAACGTGAAAGTTGCAGTTATCGTTCCGGAGAAGACCGAGGAAGAATTCCGCGTGAGAATTCGGCTCTGTGTTACCGTATTGAATGTTACCTCATTACAATATATGTTTCCTCATTTTGCAGGCCTTCGCTGAACCGATTTTCCAAGAGTATTTTCTAAGTTCCGACACCGAAGAAGCCATTAATTCAATTCTGGAGACGAACTTGGCTGGAAATCGGCACGTGGTTAGTCGCAGTACTTCCGTGTTCTGGGATTCATGCAAATACTTCAGCCCGTTGTTTTTAAGGTCGTCATGTTGATGATAGAGATGGCGATGGAGCACAAAGCGAGTCACCGAGAACTGGCTTCTGAATTTTTGTCTGAGTCATATCGGAGGCTTTGCTATCCCAAAGACTATGCTAAAGGTGTGTTCCTTCGGTTACTTCCGAACTTCCAAGAAATCTCAATCCAAGTTTTCAGCCAAGTTAGGTGCTGCTTCAGTGTGATTTTGAACTGCTGTAAGCTTCGTATAGATGTATTGCTGTGTTTCTCATCATTCAGAAAAGTCTAAAACGAGAGTTTTTGATCGTGGATTTTTTTCTGTTTTCTAAACTTTGAGCTCTCTCATATATTGATAGTAATGGATTACACCTTCTAGTGATAAAAGAATGCCAATGCGACCCATTCCGCAACCTCATCCCTGACCCGAAAGTAAATTGTAAGTTCATTTTACAGCCAGGTTTCTTTTACCTTGTACATCTTCGTTCATATAAAATTAGATTTCGTCAAGCGGCCAAAATATCTCGAGAAATAAAACAGCTTGAACCCGCGAAGAAAAAGGCAGTATTCTTTTCTATACAGTATTCGAGCAGACGCGAACGTACAGGGTAGATGGCACACAGGATTGTACCCCTAAATTGCTGATATGGGTTCGTAACATGAGGTGTATTTTATAACTCATGCATGTATTGTATCGTCAAAGCTTTCGATGAGCTGCTGAAGAACTTGCCGGAGCTTGTGTTGGACACACCAGACGCTGCGAATGTTCTCGGCAAATTTCTGGCCAGATGCATTGCTGACGACTGTCTCCCTCCTGCGTTTCTCAATGGTTACAAGGGCAAAGTCGAATGTGAACACGCTCGGTTAGTTGCCTTCAGTATAATTTTTTTAATTTTTGGATATGAGTTGTAGCGTCTGCCAAAGCATGCTTCTCCGTTTCATATTCAAATATGGTTTCATTGTTCATATACGCATTAGCGTTTTTGAAATTTTATGGAACATCGGAAATATTTTGAGGAAGAATTATTCGTGGGGTGTTCACATTTGTTTTTTCGAATTCAACCTCGTTATAACTTAACCTAATTCGTTATCACGTTAACCGTGCTGAAAATTTCTTACGAATTAGTTCAGTGGCTTCACTGGCATGGTTATATTTTGCGCCGAAATGTGCTGCTAATTCTACGATTTTTATTCGATTTGACGACCGAAATGAATGAATTTCAATGATGGGTTCGTTGCAGGACCACACTCAATCTTGCGAATACGCTCTTGGTCATGAAACACGGCATGTCGCGTCTGGACACCATCTGGGGCCAGTGCGGTCCAACCAGACCCACGAAATCGCTGACCAGGCAAATCATTATGTTCCTCAAAGAATACCTCGACTCGGGTGACATTCAAGAGGCTCACCGTTGCTTGCTTGAACTCGAATCCCCTCATTTTCACCACGAAGTCGTCTACGAGGTATTTAACTAGACTAATTTACTAAAATACGAAGTAAAGTACTGTTTTTATGCTTCACCTTGGATTTGTAATGTAAAAAAACTCGCTGTCGAATTTTAGCTGTTATTTGCTTCAACATGTCTGGAATGTGCACGACGGAAGAAAACTTGCACAAATTCTGAAATGTTTGAACCAAGCAAAACACCGGACGATAAAATCTGCCGGATGCATTTCAAATTTTCGCTTGTCTGGAATGCTTCAAATTGATCGTCAGTCTTAACGAAAGTCGTGTGATGCTTTTTGAACCACGCATATGCTAGTCAACGTAAATTTTTTATGCTTCCGCTGTTTCATCATCTTGAAAACTGTATTTGGAATATTTGCCCAATTTTCGCATTATTAAGGTATTGCAGCAATTCAAATATTTTTACGCAGACGGTGATACTTGCATTGGAGAGTCTATCGGAGTCAGTTGAGGATCGACTATTGAAGTTGATGAAGTACTTCGCGGACGCTGTTGTCATCACTCCAGAGCAAATTAAAAACGTAAGCACGGTAACATTACATTGGGCAAGCGTCACGATTGGCGAAATTTTTTCTGCTTTGTTTGTAGGGATTTTTCAGGGTTTTTGATGAGATGCCGGACATTTGCCTGGATGTTCCCCCGGCTTACGTGTGCCTTGAGCGATTTGTGACCAAGTGCGACCGGGATAAAATCGCGCCAAGGGATGTCGTTACTCGGCTTCCTTCTCGGTTCGTGGTCTCGAATTCACAAAAACAGCTAATTGCGTTGGCCAAGTTCACTTATTCCCAAGTTTCTGTGTTGAACTAAGAGCATAAACCTGTTTTCTTTCCGCGTGGTTTTTTCTTCACTCGCTCCGTTTTTGCTCATCTTTCGCCGTGTGTTAACTTGAGAAAAACTGTACCCAACTCAACGTATCTATTTCATCGATTATTCCCCTATATGAGAATTTTTTTCTCAACAGTGGTTTGCTATTCAATTATACTGCGTAGGCGCGTTTTCCTTTTCTCTAACTTTGAAAGAGTTGAAAGAACATGTGTGAAAATTTCCTAAATTTTTTCAGCGGACGGAAACGATTTGTCTCCGAAGGCGACGGTGGATTGCTGAAGGGTTTGGATTACATTTCGCCTTATGTGTGAAGACCGAAGGAGTGAATTGAAGTGCTACAAAGATATCTTTTCTCTCGTTACGGTGTCGTATGGTTTTCCGAGTCAGCGTTGGGTGTAAGGATTGCAGTGGCTGGCTGTCCAGTATTCCTGTCGAGGCTCGGCTCAAAACAATAACGAAACTGCCTCAACTCATTCCTGTTTGTTGAAACTTTCTTGAAAAAAAAAAAAAAAAAGAAGACAGCTCAAAACTTGGTACAGTTAAGAGGTTGTCGTTTTTATTCGGGGAGAATCGGGACTGGGTTCCTTGTCTTCTGCCGTAGTGTGACCATGGTGATGATCTCAATTGTTTTTTTTTTTAATCTGATAAGTCTTGGGACGTGACAAGCTATCACGGGACGGTAACTTCTGATTCATGCGTCGCTTTTATCCAGTTTTCCGGCTTGAGAGCTGATAACATTAAAAACATTGAACGTTATTTTGCCAATGCCGTAGCGTTTGCATGGAGCTCAGGTGCTTCCTACAGAAAATCGAATGCAGGGTTGGAAGAAAGTACAACAGTAACGCGAAGATTCGGTTTTATGACTTGGTCCCTGTGTATGAATGATAAAAAATGCATATTTAGCTGAAAAATTACCGATACACTCTCAAATCTCTTGCGAGTGATTGCATGATTTCCAATTTATCCTTTTCCTTGATGACCTCATGAATACGTATGAGTTGATGAATTTTAACCGAGGGCATATCTTATTCGTATTCCGTTGTTCATCGAGAGTTGATCCGAGAGAAGCGAATCGGCTGTAAGACTAATTTTATGAATTGTTCTTCGATGCTGCTCGGCTCCATTAGGATAATTAAATTCACCATTAAATGAAGTTCGATTAATTAAAATTAGAAGGGAGACTTTTTATCTTAAAGAAAGAAAAATGTTTTGACCCAGTTTTAAAAGCTGTTTTTTCCTTTAAAGGCTTACGTTTGTGCTGACAGTGTTGCGCAGAAATTTCAGATTTCATTACATTTGCCCAAGATGTGCAGAAAGCCATAGGATTACACTCGAGGATTGACATTCTTGCTGAGATTATCCATGATAAGATAGCCGACGTAGTAGTTCTCTCAATTAAATGCATATTGTGAATTAGTGTGCTTATTACGACGCTAAATTCCACTAATTTCAGTTTTAGAAAAATGTAGCGCACGAGGCTTTCACAAGGTCTAGGGTATCTTCATTGGGCTTTCTTAAATATGCTTTTCGCTATTTTGTTGCTGACAATACTCTCCATGGCCGAAGACGGGGAACCCGATTCCGAGCGTAATGTGGGTCGATGAAGTCAAGAGTGTTGAATGATGTTTGATGAATGTCTCGTGTTGATTCCTGCAGGTAACGAATCAGTATTAGTAGTGAGTTTATTGGCATGATCATCTGTAATGGCTCAAGGTCGTCGTGACGCGGACTATGCCATGGACATCGTGTCGCAGCGGAAGTGGAGCTCGGAGATCATCAATGAAGCACGCAATGCCATGAGAGCTATCGATACGAGGAGGCCCTTCACTCCGCAGGCGAATTCGCGGACATTGTTCGGTTCCTCGTTCAGGAACCACAATGGGCGACCCCCGAGTCAATTTTCCTTGAGATCGTGAGTCACGATTTCGCAAATATTCTGCCTTTTTTTGCGCTGAAAGGTGTAGTTTACGAGGTGTTGAACGCGTTTCCTAACCGAGAAATAATCGGAAAGTAGGACGGGATTTCGAGCAATTTTCCCGGTGTTCAATTTTAATTTTTTAGTGATAACAAATGAAAGTTCTGCAAAAAAAAAAAATAAATAAAAAAATTATATATACAGTATATATATATATATAACTGAGGTCTTTCCGGCAGGAATTATTCGGCCATTTTAAAGTTTAAAGAGCAAATCTCGACGTGAATCGTTGACTTGTGTGATTGACAATCGATGGACATCAATTATTTTTCCAAGGTACGCCAAGGTCAAGTTTCCGCCGGAAATTTATTTTCCCAGTCGGGAGAAATTTCGATAAGTTTTCGTGATGTTTCACGAATTTTTATCCACCACATGCTTAATTTTTAGGAATCTTTCATTCATCCATTCTGTTTATTTTCTGGTTTTGATGTACAAATTGATAAATTATAGTGTTCGCACGAAATTTTATGTTTTTGACCCGACATGGAAAGTTATTCTTGATGCCCCACTGCGTTAACCACCTGTCTTATATATATCACCATTTAAGAACAGCTGCTCAATGTGTATACATTTTCTGTGTTTTTTTATTTATCGTAGGTTAGACTTGGCAGATTCGAGGCCCGTCTCAGGGATTTTCCGGTTACAACCATTGCAAGGAGTTCATACTGCGCAAACTGTGTCGAGTTTCCCGCATAGATTCGTACCGAAGTTGCCTGTCCTTGACTTGAATTCGTCTGGGAGCTTTCGGCGCACCAGTCGACGGTCCTCTCTAGGAAACTGTGTGTTCATATTCACATTACTGTATTCTTCTGAGTTCATGACGAAAAAACGTGTTTAATCAATCAACAGTGGCCGAGGAAACGGGCAGCACAGAAGAAGAGATTATAGATTTGGATTTAGTAAATGGCCGGAAAGCTTTCTCGGGACCGAGGGAACGAACGCCTCATTTCCCAGGACTGAGTGAGATGCTCATATCTTCGTCTTTCTAGTCTTCCTTCACCTTTTAATTCGATTTCATATTCTTGTCACAGACAGTTTAATTTCCATTTTTCATGATTGGAAGACGTCATGACATTTTCCTTAATTACGGAGATCCAGATATGTTGTAAATTTATGAAGCTCATTTTAAATTTTCGATACTCGAAAATTTGACGCCCATTTATGACGCAGATACTGCATTTTTCAGATATATTACAGTATTCGGGTTTTTTTCGGATAACACTCTTCTTCGTAAAACATCCATAAGTTAACCCTAAAATTTACATCGCATGTCAGACTTCCGCACGTTGCCAAATTACAAACAGTTCCATTACCAGTGGAAAAGTGCGAGGTTTCTGTTTTATGCAAGATATATTATTCTTATCAGCTAAGGAGAACTTTAAAAAATTTGAAATACAGTGTGTTCGTTAAATTTACTTCTCTGAATTGCATTTTATCCAAAATAAATTGAATTGTTCATTTCAGATGTAGGAAATTCGTCGTATGCAGGAATGCCGATCGGTAATGTGGAAAAGAAGCTACCTAAAAGACATGAAAGGAATCGAACGAGTAGTGGATCGACTGCCGTTCTGCATCCTCCGTCGGTTCCGAAAAAGCAACAGATCTCTGAGCAACCGGGAGATTTCCTAGAAACGAAACTGCGTCCTTTGGTGGAATCCATCGAGAAATCTGGGTCTTCAGCAGCACAAATCTGCCGTCAAATCTACGTTCTTCTCAACGATGAAGGTTACTTTGAAAACACGGGTATGTTCTGAAGTGGTCTTCGGCTTTTTGTGTCATGAGAATTACAATTTGATTTTCTATCTAATGTCTCTTTGAAAATGTGCTTGTCATTTCCACAGTAAGGTATATACTGTATTCGCTACTTTAAAAGTGTCCATTTTACTGTGGCATTCTACCTTTCTATCCAGAAATCGAAGAAAATGTCTAGAATCGACAGGTTGACCAATAAATTATGATGGAATGAAAAAAACCGAATGAATTCGGGTTTGTGGAAAGAAAAAGTCTTCGCTTAATGACAAGCTTGAGAGGTGGTTCTCTCGGGAACTGTTAAATCCAGAAGAACTTGAAGTGTGTGTTGCGAGCGCGATTCGTGATGTGTCTTCGTTATTCGGAAAGCTTCGAGTGAGAAGAATTATTTAAAAAAATCACCTTTCCAGGAAACAGAAAGCGGCGGACTCCAGTCGTCAAAATGCTTTCCGGCTTGGTGGACCACGAAGACCCGCATTTCTTGCTTCACTTGGCCCGGATCTTACTAGCTCTTCGTCTCCGCGGCAACAACTTGACGAACGTGTGGAAGCTAGTCTTCAAAATCGCTAGATGCGACAAAAACGACGCCTATTTCCTCGAAGACTCCGCCGTCGACTTGATCGTCACCTCCATCGGCTCTTTGGATCCCGTGGAAGAAGCCGAAGCGTGCGTTTACGCTTACGGAGCTGTGAAATTCTTGACAACGAATCCGTCGTTATTGCCGCACTTGACGAAAGCCGGTCTTCTGCCTCTCATGGTTCTCCACGTTCGTTTAATCGCTGCGGAAAGACAAGCATTGACTCCCTGCAGGGAACAAATGGGGCAGGTGTTGTACCAACTGACGGCGGGGTTCAGGAACGTTGTGGGCGGCACAGCGAAAGAAGTGGCATCTTCCGGAGTCATGCAGCATTTGGTGACGGTGGCTGAGCTGTTCTCGAGAGACGTGGACATCGTGTCCAACATGTCGCGGATTTTCAGTGTGTTGGCTGCGGACGAATCTTGCTGTGATGCCATGACCAGTCCGGACCTGGCAAGCAAGTTTTTACCCACTTACTCTCAATTTCTGAGCAAGTATCCAGGAAGGCAAGACGTGGTCGTGAGGATTGCGTATGTGCTGGGAAATCTCATGGCGAAAAGCAACGTTGCCAGGGCTAGTTACTTTGATATTCCGGGATCCGCGGATTCCTTGCTGGACCTTCTTGCGATTTACATTCGAAAAGACGTGGCCAGTGCGACTCCGCAAGCGCAGAATGACGAAGATTTTGTGGGAGGAGATGGCAGTAGTGGGACGCCAACTGACGTGATCATCAAAGTTATTAGAGTGTTGGCGAATATGTCGATTGACGAGAAAGTGGGCGTGGCGTTGGGTGGGAATCACAGATGCATTGATCATTTGTTGGCCGTTGTGAGGCATAAGGAGGTGGCTTTTGGGCCCGAGCTGGAGACCATTGGACGGAGGGAGGATACGGAGGCAGTCTTGTCTGCGTTGGCTGCGATGAACAATCTGGCCTTTTATTGTGCTGGGATAGAGGATAGTGCTGTTTATCAAAGGTCTACCGAAATTACGGAATGTGAGTTGCAATCGTCAAGTTGGTTTTGCTCAAGTAGAAGTTTCATCACCATCCAATAACTGTAGATCTAAAGCATTACCGTGACGCCGTGTCTAAAATTTACTATCTGTGAAAATTGCTCTGGGATGAAATTTGGTTTAAAAAAAACAACCAAGGGTTCAAGAAAACAAATTTACTCGGCAAGATTCACGTCAAGATGAACACGACCTTCTTTCCAAAAGGATGCAATTATTCAAAACGATGCCTTTATTTAATTTTTGCCGTATTCTATACTTACAGTAATCATCTTATCGACCAATTGAATTTATTTAAACCTGAAAACCCCATCCTGTGTGTAATACAGTATTGCAAATTCCGGGTGGAAACACGGACACAGTTTTAGTCTGTAGTCAGTTTTACACTCAGCAAACGAAATTCGTGTGAATTTAATTTAAAAAAAAACGACTCTTCTGTTTCAGATTTATGTGACATATTGCTACTGGGACATTGTGAAGCCACTATAGAAGTTCTCAGGGTATTTGGAAACTTGACCAGGAACGAGAGAGTGAGGGAACTTTTATCGAACAGGAGAAGTGAGTTTTATTTTGGATCTTTTTTAATGTGAAAAAGTGGAACATCATCGCATCTTTCTTTTCGATTTTAAAGTTTTCGATTTCCTCATCGGAGTTTTGGATTCGGACAATCGCGAAGCTGTTTATTCAGCGTGTGGAGTGCTGGTGAACATGATGACTGACCCAGCAAGCCGGACTGTGTTGAAGGACTTGAATGGAATGAACAGATTGACCCAGGTTCTCAAGCATTTAGGTGCGGGCGACTGGCAGTTGGCATCTCTGGTTGTTCAAGTGTTGTGGAATGCTTGTGCTGGTCTGGAATATCCTGCTGATTATATCGGCGAGGAAGAGGCTGATGAGTTGATGGATGTGTTGGAAGATCATTTGGAGGCAAAAGAAACTGGCGCTGCTTACTATGCGGACTTTTGCGTGGTTGCTGACCAGTTTTTAGATAGATTGGACGGTGATGAATCCGTAGAAGAGTGAATTGGTGTCATTTCCCTGGGGAAACAAGTAGGAAACTTATGATCTCGTCATAACCGTCCAAGATGTGATCCGTTAGAATTCCATGTGATAGTCGTTCGTATGTGCACACTGGAAAATGTTGCAGAATATGCTTTGCTGTGTTCATTTTTTATTTATTTTATTTTACCTGAATTGCTTCTTTTTCACCTTCTCATTTGTTCACTGGAAGTCAAAATTGACTGCCAAAATGTGATTCAAGGCACTTGCAATAAAGCTGTACTTCTTTACAGTGTGAATTGACTTCCATTTCATTTTATTTTTAATCTTATGTGCGTTTCATATCTTAGTACTGTATAAAGTACTTTCATACCATTTATTCTAAGAGTTATGGATGTGCACCATTCGTCGACACTTTCTTCACAGAGCTTTCGGGTATTCAGTTCTTGGATTTAGTTTCAAAAAGTAAATGTCTGAAAGAAAGAACCTGTGAGAACCAAGTTCAGTCATGTTCGGTGAAACGTTATGTTACAACTCAACGCGAACCTCTTTGATATATTCGATTAAGCTCTTTGTACAGCTCCGGTGGTAAGAGAACAGTACATGGAATAACAGAAGAACGAAGCCGAGACGATGCCTTTCCCAGTTTAGCAATAAACCTGGCTTTTATGCTACCGCGTACTGTAATGGTTCTTGCAAACACAAGCTTTCGGCCAGTGGCGGCGGGGGTGACGTTTGAGTAATGCAGAATTGTAAAGGTGACGGAACCTGGAACGATATGTGTCAGTGGCGTCACATTGTCAAAGTTTATTTGGTTAATCGTTGATGATTTATGATCTGTCTTCCATGATCTAGTTTTTCTAAGAGATGCGGTGCATTTTCTTTTGGAAGGTACCTGCAGCCTATCAGAAAATGAATCGCGATTACATGTGAAGTTCGAAAAGCGATGCGTCAGGTAGAACCTGACGAGACTCCTGAGCGAGCCGCTTAGAAGTTTCTCCCGTTTACTCCACCTCGTCGAGGCTGTGAGTAACCGCGGAATGGAGGGCAGTGCCAATTATCCACACCATCGATCTCATCCTGAGAATCCGTCGCGATCCGTGCAACAGAGACCTCAAATACCTCCTCGCCCGCATCAAGCGAGACCGCCTCCCCAGAAGCGCCGGGACGGTCGTCCTCGGTGTAGATCGTACAAACTTTTAACCGATCCCGTCATTGACAGATCAGCGTCAGAAAAAGTAGGTTACGTAATTTTAGATGGATTCAACTTCGTTCGCTCAACAACTTTTGTCAATACTGTAGATATACCGTTATGATGGTATGCTCAAGGATGGCACTAAACAATCCATCTCAAGAAGAGACCCACGTCGACCGCCTAGAATACTGGCGGATGACCCCATGAAACTGCCTGTACCAAATCTGAAGGTGAACTTACTTACTTGGACTGTCCCGCTATTCTTGATATTTACAAAATTTGATGTTTTGTAGATTGATCGTCATTACGTTGGCATACCCCCTCCATTGGAGCTGATGATAAGCAATTTAAATGATAATGTCGACAAAAAATTTCTCTCGCAAATCGTCGCTAAATTTGGTCCCGTGAAAGAACTTCACGTCTACTACCACCCGAAGACAAAAAAGCACCTCGGGTTTGCCCGAGCAGTCTTCGAAACCTGCGCATCTGCGAGTGCATGTGTAGAGAAGCTCAATGGTGAATCTGTGATGGGTCAAAAGCTGTGCATTACGTTTGATCCTTTCGGTGAGTTAGACTATCTTACTGAAGTCAATGTATCGTAAATTCGAGTATTTTTTTTACCAGGTGAAGAATGTCGGAAAGCGTTTTTGGTTAGAACGTCTGAAACTAGTTCGGCGGACAAGTTTGCTGCGCCTGCGAATAAGGTTCGGAGTAATGAATTGGACCCACGTCGGAAATCGGCGACGCAACAGAAGGTGCCTTCGCGCACTGAACCTCCGTCGGGTCTGAAAACACCACAAATCGACCGGAATTCGTCTTTTCTGAACACACTCATGGGAAAGTCGACTGGAACTCAAAGCTTCTTGACGGCAATTGCTTTGGAACCTTCGACGTCTCGAGTAAGGAAGTGTATGGAAACGTGAAAACAATTTTAATAAGTGACTTATATTGTTTTCATTAGATAAGAGCTGTTAAGTCAATGTTTCATTGAGTTTTCAATGTTGCTCCCATCCTTAGACTCTACACCAAACATTGAACTAGCCATTCAAGTTTTGTGGTGACAACTTCGAGTACAGTGTTAACGAAGATGCTGGCTACAGCAAACATTCGAGTATAAATGAAGATCGGATTCGATCGAATCCAGGAGAAACGAATTTTCCTTTCTCACATGACCGTTTGAAAATTTAGGCTGAGAAAACTACGTGAAATTAAAAAAGATCGAAATAACAATTTTATGTGAGGAAAAAATGAAATAAAATGGTATTGCCTCTTAACGTATTCGTACTGATTCTGTTGTTAGCACCAGGTCAGATTTTGTTATTCCATTATCTATATTTGTTATTCCAAATATTGTTTCTTAAGTAAGTTGGGTTTCAACAACTTCACTGCTTCTTTTTGAGTTTTCGCGGTAATAGCTACCACAACTCATCCGATGACAAATGATTGCGTGCCATGTAAAACAACTTGTGGTAAACTTCCATTTGAACTCGCATGGAGGTTTTCAGTGACCATTGGTTTTTACGTTGCCGCTGGAAAATGTGTGCCAACTATCATGGGCCACCCTTTATCAATTCTTGAATTTTCGGAACCCTCAGGGTCACGATGCTGTTCGTGGTGCATCGAAAGATCATCCAGAATCTTCACGGATGCCTCCAACGTCTCACCCTTCACCTGGTCACGCTCACCGACTTCCCGCTCACATGAAGCCTTCTCCGCATAAGCATTCTCCTCGCACAGAAAAATCTCCCCATCAGAAACCCTCTCCGCATCATTCGACAAGACCGCACCAAACACCGCGACCATCTCCGAGAATGACCCCGCAAGTTTCCGGCTTGGATTCGAAACCCGTGCGTGCGTCAGAGAGCGAGATGTTGCTTGATGATGCTTCCGGGGTATCCCCTGTGTCCTCTGATGAAGATGCCGGTAAGTGTGTTTCCTGCGAATTTTGCCTTTTGGAGTACTACTTAATATCGAAATTCAGGAAGGAATAAAGATTTTCGAATTATAGGTAATTGAAAAGGCAAAGATCTGAAAATTAAACGCAACAAAATATAAAATGTGCACAAATTGGATCAATTTTCTCTTGTTTTCATTGTAAATAATAATTTGTTGACAATCGTTCTCCCGCGTGATTTTGAATAAAGGTGTGCGTGGTACTAAAGTAAATAAAATAGATCAAGAAAGTCCGTGTGTTTCTAGATGTTTTTCTATTTTGCGATAAATTGAATGATCAATCATTGTTACAAATGAAACCTCATTCTGGAAATTTCCGAAGGACCTCAGTCTCGGGTCAGCCATTCCGTGAAGCTTAAAGTGAATGTAAATCATCTGGATTTACTGGATCTGTTTTCTGGATCTGGAACCAATCACAGTAGCTATTGTAGAGAGATTTGTGCAAACGCTTTTTGGATGATGGTCTTCTCACAGAAATATGTCCATCAAACGAGGCAGCTCTAATAATAAAATCCCGAATGTCGTTTGATAATGCGAAGCTCGTGTCGGATTTCAGTATAATACAGTATTTCAATTCAAAATTGTCTACGAGTGTGTTCGGATTCTAAATTTTAGTTTTAATTTGCAGGAACATTCAGCGTGGAACACCGGGATCGCAAAGAACGAAGCAGACCTCGAGATGACCTACGGAAGTTAGACGAAAGAAGTCGGTGGTCTTCTTCGTCTCGGAGTCGGTCTCGAAGTCGATCGCTCAGCAAATCTCGTCCCGCCCCTGTGTTCCCTCATTCAGATGCCTCCGATATTTCCTCTGACACGAGTCTCGACGCAGAATTCAGCCCTGCCGTGAAGAAGAGTCGTCCATCGCCGAAAACTCGATCTCCTGCTGCCGATGAAGCCGTCGCAGCTGCTGTGATGACAGCTTCTAGTAAGTTTCTTCAAATGAATCGTGATTGATGCTGGGGTACTTGAGATTCATGTTTTTAAATAATAAACAGATTTGAACAAGTAATACGTAACCGGATATTACGTTTTTCTAGATCTGGTAAAACGTTTCTCAAATTTTTGTTCATGCGTTTATCTCCGTGAATGGTCGATAATTTTTTTGTGAATTGGTTCCCTTTTTTTGAGCTTGAAGACGGCTGATATGATTTCATTGATGTAGAATTCATCACATCGGTACTAAAGATAATGCATTATCGTCTTCAGTGTCGTTGGAATCGCGACTTGAAATGCTGTTCGCCACGCGTGGCCTTGGACCGGTACCGCCGTTACCGTCTGGTCAACCACCTCCGCCACCACCGCCACCCTTACCGCCAGACTCGGACGACGAGCCTGCCGCCCCGCCGATGACATCGCCGGCTGCCGAGTTCGGCGGCGAAATACCCGCGGAATTGCGCGAAGTGGCCAGTGAGCGCGGTGAACCTCTTTCGCGAACTCCGTCGCCGTTTCTGTGTCGGCAAACCTACATTGAAAGCTTGTTGGATACGCTGCGGGAGAAGCTGGAGAAAAAGGCTGGGGAAGGCAACCATCAAGTGAGTATTTTTTAATGTTTTCGACTGTTTTTGAACGTAGTCGTTAAATCTCCTGTCTCATTTTTTTTTCTGTTACGAGATGAAAAGAATGCGTCGAGGTGTTCACGATGTTTCATGAATCTCCGTATTCGAAATCTTGAAATCTTAATACAGTATCTCTTACAGTAATTATGTCTGTGCATTTTGTGTGCATAATTGTTTTGAGACTTGATGTGTTGTATTATTGATTAGTTGTACATCATTCATTATGTCCCTCGCTTGAAAGTACTGTACTTACTTAAATTATCAAGCCCGAAAAGTTTAATAGTGTTTGTCTCAGCGGAACAGCAAAAAGATTGAAGCTGAATGCAGTACCATCGCTTCGGGAGCGTTCAATTTCATTTTTGCGAGTGGTTTTTATTTTGTGGAATGCTTAACGGCTCTGTGAGGTTAGTTTTTTCCTGTTAACTACTGGTGTGACTCAGGTATTCTGGAGATGTGTGTACTAGCTCGTTGGTATAAAGACATGTGTAGTTCTGATCTCTTTCAGCATCAACCTGTGAATTTTTACGAACGAGCGAGTTTGTATTGAAATCCTCGTTCCCATTTTTTGATCAGTTCTTATTTCCGAGCTTTGTAAAGTTATGAATGTTATCGTTTTCAGCACCCAGCTGTGTAGTTTTTTATGCGTTCTAGCGTTAGTACTGTTTCATATTCGATTGCTGTGATCTTTGAAAATCGTTTATTCGTTTTATTTATTTATTTATTTATTTATTTTTAGAAGGATTCAAAGAAAAACCGACCTGGCTATGAGGATGACAGGATGAGCTTGTCGAGTTTAAGCTCGAACGATGAGAAAATCGACGTCTCAGAGACGAAGGGATTCGGAGGGCCTAATTTGATCCAGTACCCTCCTTTGAACCAGTATCCCTTGGGTACTGTTCGTCCTATTTCATTCAGATTGGGTATGTCGCGTCCGATTGTGAATATCTGGTCTCAGTTTTTGAATTTCCGCTGAATAGTACGAATAATACGTTGAACAAGGTCATACGCTGAATCTTGTCCTCTTCGGAGGAAGATTGGCTGCCAAATTAATTAATTTTTCCGTAGCATTTCTCGATTGGTTCAATTCATTTTTTATTAGTACGTTTGACGGATCCATGTAACAATGCTTCTCACCGCAATATATTCAGCAGATGTACCAATCCTGATACATGCATTTTAAATAAGTCTGATATGACACCTATATTATTCGAAAGGCGGTTAAATGAAATGCAGTAAGTCTTTTAGTGTTGTGAAGGTTGTATTTGTATCAGTCGAAGTGTTTATGACGAATCAACGATTTAGTTTTGTATAAAAACGATCGAGTGCCTCTTCGAGGGATAAAAAGTATCTTCTAAACTTGCTTGGTAGCTGATGGATCAGCCCTTTTAATCGTATCTCTCTTATACAGGTGCACCCGGTCACCAGAGTTACGGTCGTGGTACAACACCGTACTTTTTACCACCAGGAGGCCCTCGTGGTCCACATTTTAGACCTGTTGGCGTTCCACACCCTGCATTCACCCATCATCCAGGTTTGAACCTCCCAATTGAATAAATCTGTATAGTAATATGCAGTGTAAGATTCGACGTCATGTTCTTATTTTTGAATTTTTTCAAATGAAGAGTTGGGATGGGAGTGGGAAATAGAATGTGTGCTGTAGTATGTGTAAGGAGGAAGTAATTCTTGANAACACCGTACTTTTTACCACCAGGAGGCCCTCGTGGTCCACATTTTAGACCTGTTGGCGTTCCACACCCTGCATTCACCCATCATCCAGGTTTGAACCTCCCAATTGAATAAATCTGTATAGTAATATGCAGTGTAAGATTCGACGTCATGTTCTTATTTTTGAATTTTTTCAAATGAAGAGTTGGGATGGGAGTGGGAAATAGAATGTGTGCTGTAGTATGTGTAAGGAGGAAGTAATTCTTGACCTATTGGTAACGCTTCTTCCCTAGTACCCCCTTCTTTGTAATCTTTTTACAGCCGTGTCCAAGATCTGGAAAAAGACCTTAATCTGAGTATTCCTGAAAGTAAGTCGTTTAAAAAAAATTGAAATCAGATTGGTACTGGTAGTTCTTCCCAGATTAGTCGCTCATAAAGCGTCCAATCAAGAAAAAAAAAATCAAAGTTACGCGTTATTTTTTCTCTTTTGTGTTTTTCCTATTCGAACCTTTTTACTTTTCCTTCGTGATTTTTAAATCTGATTAGCATTGGTGAATTATAAATGGTCGAGTACGACTAGCAATTTTTTTTCATTCCCTAAGGTTTAAGGGGTACAACGTATTTATAATAATTTTTCGTTGTTAGGTTTCGCGGCACCGTTGCCCTCAGTGCGTGTTCCATACCCAGTTTACGTAGTAGGTGGTCCTTATGGTGGTGGGGGTCCGCTTCCAAAGATAGGGTACAAGGTGGGCTTCGACCTCTTCCTCCTTCCACTGGGACCAGGCGGACCACTTTGCCTCAACTTCGCCCCTGGTATAGACGACGAGCTGCCGAATCCGCCACCTGAGATTAAGATCAAGCCGAAAAGGAAAAGGAAGAAGCAACGAGTGGAAAACTTGGCGTTTCACGAGGAGAACATACGGTGAGATTTAATCACTGGTTTAATCCCTATTTTTTTATTGGTCTTCGGGAATACAGAACGTGTTTTTAAAAAAGCTCGCTTACAAAGTCAATTGCGCGTAGTGTTTCAATACTTGTACGTTACATTTTTCACCGAATGTTCACGTGGGATTTTTCTACAGGTTAATTCTTGACAAAATGTGCGGCGAACTGAGAGACGTGCTCACCAGACTAGAGTTCTTCTTCGATGACCTTTTACACCGGGACTTTTTCAACGTCCTAACCACCTTGTGAGTTCTAGAACAGGTGTTCTACTACCACTCTATTCTCAAATAAGGAGCATTTACGTAAACCTCTACTCAGGGCACAATTACTCTTCACCATATGATTGGAAATTGATCCAACTGTACTAACTCCGGTGCATTTTTTACCAGCATATTTGTAGCTTCAGAAAAAAGCGTTTCGATTTTCTGTACTGTATTATCATACTGTACCATTTTATTCTTCGTTGAATATTATTCTTGGCTGACTCTCTTGAAAATGATTTTGTCTTGTAAAATTTTTTATGTGCAACGAATTTTTTCTACTCCCTTGAATTTCGCTGTAGAGAGAGTCCACCTGTGTGCCTGTACATTTAAATTCACAGTGCAGTAATGTGAAAATGATGACAATATTTTTCGAATTATCCACCAATAACTGTGATTGTTTTAGAAAGAAAATTTTCATATTCTATTCTTTTGTTTGCTTCTTGATAATTATAGTAACAGCGATAATTTATTTGCAGTACATGTCTGCATTAGGACCTAATTTTCGGTACGCGGAGTTTACGCAGAAAGACGCCGAAAAATCCTCTAACGGTTTTTGATCTCAAGAAGAAGCTACTGGAAAATGTGGCCCTGAAAAAGTTGCAGGATTGGTGGAACACTCAAGATCTTGTCCACAAGATGATGGTGAGATAAGAGTTTATTCCTCGTAAATGCATTTGGAGATGTCAGGGCACAATTACTCTTCACCATATGATTGGAAATTGATCCAACTGTACTAACTCCGGTGCATTTTTTACCAGCATATTTGTAGCTTCAGAAAAAGCGTTTCGATTTTCTTTACTGTATTATCATACTGTACCATTTTATTCTTCGTTAAATATTATTCTTGGCTGACTCTCTTGAAAATGATTTTGTCTTGTAAAATTTTTTCTGTGCAACGAATTTTTTCTACTCCCTTGAATTTCGCTGTAGAGAGAGTCCACCTGTGTGCCTGTACATTTCAATTCACAGTGCAGTAATGTGAAAATGATGACAATATTTTTCGAATTATCCACCAATAACTGTGATTGTTTTAGAAAGAAAATTTTCATATTCTATTATTTTGTTTGCTTCTTGATAATTATAGTAACAGCGATAATTTATTTGCAGTACATGTCTGCATTAGGACCTAATTTTCGGTACGCGGAGTTTACGCAGAAAGACGCCGAAAAATCCTCTAACGGTTTTCTTCGAATTAATGATATGTCTTGGATGAACTTTGTTTTATTCTATAAGCATGATGAAATTAAAAGTCGATAAAATGTTTTTTTCCTTCTTATGCAGATAAAGCTGATCAGCGAAAACAGGGCCACAGTGTTTCCGTCCCTTACGAACACGGTTCCACCTGCGGAAAAGCAAGAGAAACCTCTCACGCTGCCCAAGACGACTGTTGATGAAGCTGAGGAACTGGTCAAGTCTTTGAAGGACCTGAAGACTGAACCAGGGAAGCCGTTCTCGACGAGTATTGTTCCAAGAAATGCGTTGCCGAAAATTCCGTCCTTCAGGATCCAAGTGAGCTTATTTTTTTGCAATTGAACAATTGACAACGAACATATTTTGCTGTTTGATGAGTGATTGTTTAAATCTAATCTGGTTGAACGTTGAAATTTCAGTGGAAAGTTTTTTTCATTCTAACGCAAAGATTCGCTTTTTAAAAGTTCGACGGTCTTCGCTAGTGTTATCTAGTTCTAGTGTTATCGGAGTTGCAAAAATGGAATCATGTCTCGACTGAAAAAACTCTACCTGAAAAAACCATGACTTCAGGATTCACTGCAGTAAATCCAGGTGACGTAAATAATTTTTTTACTCGATGACAGAGAAAACAAGAGCCCGTCCTTGAAGATAGAAGGCGATCGAGGGCTTCCAAAGCGAATAGATTTGGTGGACACGCTGAAAGAAAGCCAGTTTTTCACGGAACCCTGTCAGATGTATCTAGTGACGAAGACGAGTTACCAGAGGCCAAAGCAGAACGCAAGCGTCATGCGAGGCAGATCTCAACCTCAGGTTCGTATTCTTTTCCTTGGCTTTCAATTATAACGTCACTGCTTCTTGCCCTTCTTTTTCTCTGTGTCAGGAGGTTTAATCGGTTTTTATTTATTCAAAAATTTCTGTCTGATGGATTCAAAACTCATGTCCGCGAGGTTATTGTTACGAGGGATTCTCAAAATAATCATGTTCATATTCCCCTGGTAATTGTAATTATTTAAATGCTGCCTTACTATATTTAAATTAATTTTCGGTTTTATGAGTATAGGGCAAGTAAAAAAAGAAAAGAAAATGAAAAGACCAGTGGATCCACGAAAAGTACTGAAATCACTCAAAAAGACCACATTTTTCTGGGGACCGCGAAAAAACTGACTACAGTACAGTACATAGAAAATCAAAGCTGAGGCTTGATTTGAAATTCTCATTTGTCTCTTGATCATTTGTAAGTACAGGAAAACGAAAACAATTTCAAGTTACTGGTATGTTCTCGAATGACCAGCCTATAAATTCATTTCTTTTTTCGATGCCATCTGCTTGCCAAAAAAAATGACTGATCCGATCGAATGATTATGGATCGACCGCGAAAGTGTAGCTGAGCTTTCGTTCAATAACTTAAAAATGTTGATCGAATGAAATATCTACGGTAGTCAATTTTCTTTCTTTGACGCAGCAGATTCTAGTCGAGACTCGAGCCCTGTGGCTCCGAAAGTCAAGTCACCCGAAAACCGCAAGCGCAAAGAATCGACGGACTCGGACGTGGATGCGAGCAAGGCGGAAAAGCGGAAACGTCGCGTCCGGAAATATTCTTCAGCAGAAAGTGATTCAAGCCTCGATCAGGCCTCCAGTCAACCGCCTAAAGTTCCGTCTCCCGTTGAGCCTCCGTCGAGTTTGGAATCCAGTCCCGAGAAAAAATCCTTGGCATCTTCTTCCGAGACTGAAGAACCTGCTAAACCCAAAGATTCAGCACCAGAACCATCTCCAGCACGCATTTCGTCTGAGGATGAAAGCGAAACTTCTGCATCTGAGAAGGGGAAGAAGAAGAAGAGGAGGACATCAACTAGTTCGTCGGAATCGTCTTCATCGTCGTCTGAAACGGAGCTTGCCAAGCACAAGTCTTCCACTTCTTCTTCATCATCTTCTTCGGAAGCCGAGGAGGATCAAGCTGATGAACATGAGTCCAGTGAAGAATCTGAAAGCGAGAAAATGGACACGTAAGTGATGCTTTACAAAAAATCAGTTATTGGAAAAATGTCTAAATTTGATGAGTGCCACGATGAAAATCTGTAATGCAAGTGCATGTAATACCCCGTATTTTTCGTATATCTTGATCAATCACACGCTTTCATATCAAAATTGTAATGCCTTTTCTTCCATAATTTTTCCGTGTAGTCAACCTGTTCCTGCTCAGAAACAACAGGATAAGCGTCGCAATCGTAAACCGTCGTTGACGGCGCGACAGGGCGCCAAATCCAAGCGGAATGATCTCGCCAAATTGAAGTCCGCCGGACGACCTCGCGGGAAATCACCGCCTAGGGTTCCTTCTGCGGAACCCCTGGAGTCTCCTGGGAGTCTCGAATCCAGCCAGTCACCGTCCTCGATCGAAGAAGAACACAGTTACTGCGTTCCTAATTCTGAGCGGGTTGCGAGAGCCGTAGACGATCCAATCGCATTGAACGTCATCAAAGAGCTCATCAAGAACAACTTTGCCTACAACGTTGCTGGCGTGGATCACGAGTCCTATGCAAAGCCGAAATCATCAGCCTCTCTGAGAGGCAAGCTTTTTTCGAAGCGAGATCAATGGAACGAACACGCGGCCGTGTTCTCGTTTTTGTCTTGCGGACTGGACGAGGAAGACACGAAGTTTTTCGAACGGAGTTACAACGCAATGTTGGCGTGTGATGAAATGGCAGCGAATGATTGGTTGAATGCCACTCACTGGGTGCATCATCCGCCAACTGTGGTCAACCACTTGGAGCCGACAGGATCCCGAGTGAGGAGAAGGTCGCCATCGCCGCATAAAACGGGTTGCGCGAGGACTGAAGGCTTTTACAAGCTGGATTCGAAGATCAAGGCTCAAAACAAGGTTCGTGTTTTTNATGAAATGGCAGCGAATGATTGGTTGAATGCCACTCACTGGGTGCATCATCCGCCAACTGTGGTCAACCACTTGGAGCCGACAGGATCCCGAGTGAGGAGAAGGTCGCCATCGCCGCATAAAACGGGTTGCGCGAGGACTGAAGGCTTTTACAAGCTGGATTCGAAGATCAAGGCTCAAAACAAGGTTCGTGTTTTTTGTTGTCACCGACCCAAATACTGAAATACAGTACAAGGTATTCGATCCGAATCAGGCTGTTGTGCGAAACTATGATTGCCTTTTTTCCGTGAAAATATGATCTTTTTCTTGCTGAAAACTGTCTTAAGAGGATTTTCAGCGAAAAGTCGTTCTTCGTAATGTGAGCCGTATACCAAACAATTAGCTATACTAATATAATTTATTATTATGATGGTCTTTTTACCATAATATCAGCTCAACACTTATACGGATATTTGAGATTATCGTCCGTGTTAATTTATGTTCTTCAATTAACAAATTTTATCAGCTCAGTTTACCTCTCACAACATATCTTGAAAATAGTTATGTCACTGTTTATAAATGTGATGCACAAAATTATGGAACGCTTTGAAATTCGTGGACATTCATCGATCATAATTTTTAATTTTTTGCCTGATGCAAATCCAAGATTAGATAAATTGCAAAAGTCTGACTCCCTCTCCTCCACCCGTGAATTTCTATAAACTACTGTACAGTATATTCAAATGACAATGATGCACTGTAGCGCATTTTTTATTTTATAGTTTTTTATTTGTATTTTCAGAAAAATACAAACGAATAATCGACAAGTAATGCAGTGTTCATAAAGGGTGTTGAAGTACTGGCACATGCTCGTGCGAAGTAATTCTTGATTGCTTGAAGAATTAATTAAGGATTTAAATACTGTATAACTACTGTATTGCAACTTTGAACATACTACATGCGCATGACATATGTCTAATAAACATCGATTAAATTGAAGATAAAAACTAGAACAGCATAACAAAGGTAACGTCGTTCACAAGTAAGCGGCTCACCACATGTTCCTTTTTCTCTACGGGTTGGTGACGGATCAGAGCAGAACTGCCCGATCAGACCAGCGACGTTTGCTCGCTGAATTCGGCGGGTTTTCCGACTCCGATCTGCTCAAATTCAACCAGCTGAAATTCCGGAAAAAGCAGCTCCGTTTCTCCAAGTCAGCGATCCACGATTGGGGCTTGTTCGCCATGGAGCCGATTGCAGCGGATGAAATGGTGATCGAGTACGTGGGCCAGATGATCCGGCCGTCGGTGTCCGACGTGCGAGAGAAGAAGTACGAGAAACTCGGCATTGGGTCGTCGTACATGTTCAGAATTGACGGGGAATCGATCATCGATGCGACCAAGTGTGGCAATCTCGCCAGGTTCATCAACCACAGTTGCAATGTACGTATTAATTTCCCCCCGGTTTGTTCTCGCCAATTTTCCTAAAAATGAAACACCGAATTCAATAAAAAGCGCTTTATATTTTTAAAGCGCTCAAAAAGAAATGATTCCTTCAGAAATCTGTTGAAGCAACTCATGCTATAGTTACCAGCTGAACACCCTCCGATAACTCCATTATAAACTAGGAATGTAATTCTTGAAATGTTGCCAGAAATCCCAGACCTGATTTTTTTTTAGAAGATGCAATTTTTATTTTATTTTTTTTCAAAAGCAATATCGCGGATAAATTCGAGTCTCATGGTGTAGGATTGGATTATGATATCGAATACTGTACGAGAAAATTTCTGTGAAAGTGCTATTTAAGCACAAATGACTTTTAAAAACTTCGATGTCACAATTTATTTATGTCATTTATTTACTTCTTCGCTTAGCTGTTTGAGGATAAGACTTTTATTTGCTACATTTCTTTCACTTTCAATACACTCAAGCAAAATTTTTCCTTAACTCGGGGGCACAACAAAATGAAGTTGGTCTTCTGAGTAATTGGCCACCTTGTATATTCGAGTAAATACGGGAGTACCGCATGTAATTTTTTACTATTTTAAGTGGTTTTCATGAACTTTTATTTTTGATTTTCAGCCAAATTGCTATGCAAGAGTTGTGACGGTGGAAGGAAAGAAGAAGATTGTAATTTATTCGAAGCAACCGATTGCTGTGAACGAGGAAATCACGTACGATTACAAGTTCCCGATCGAAGACGTGAAAATCCCTTGCCTCTGTGGGTCCCCGCAGTGCCGAGGAACGTTGAACTAACGTTTAACCGGGGTGATCAGGTCCAATGTACTTGTGGAAAAAAGCGGAAAATCCGGGTGATGTTTTTTATTAAATTCGTGTTTACTGAAAATTTTTGAAGCTACAGTGTTAAATAAATACAGTAAATAAATGAAGAAGCGAATCGACAAACTCCTATTCTGAAAATAAACGATGTAAAGAAAGTGAAAGTTATGTGAGGAGCAAAATTTTTCCTTAACTCGGGGGCACAACAAAATGAAGTTGGTCTTCTGAGTAATTGGCCACCTTGTATATTCGAGTAAATACGGGAGTACCGCGTGTAATTTTTCACTATTTTAAGTGGTTTTCATGAACTTTTATTTTTGATTTTCAGCCAAATTGCTATGCAAGAGTTGTGACGGTGGAAGGAAAGAAAAAGATTGTAATTTATTCGAAGCAACCGATTGCTGTGAACGAGGAAATCACGTACGATTACAAGTTCCCGATCGAGCTGCACTTTTAGGGAACGGAGACACCCAGGGGCGTCACGGCTCCTTGCAACTTGATTGCAAATTGGCCCCACTAGTCCAGGTTACATGAACACCTTTTTTCGCCTTTTAGGCCCACTACAAAAAATATTCATTGTCGTTTTTTCTCCCCACCCTCGCTTCTAGCCTGTTTCATAATTTTGTTTTAATCCCCAACGGAACCACTCAGGAAGTTCGTGTGATCACGTTTTGATTAGGATTGCTTTTGTTTCTGTGTCATCCATTTTATCACTTGGTGCCTTGATGAGAATCAGTTCTAATTTTCAATGTTCCCCGTGTTTGAAGCATCGGCATTGCGAGGAGTTGTTCGACGATTCATGGCGTTTACAGCTCACCTTGACCCATCAATATTTGTTCAGAAACCCCTGTTTTCTCGGATTGATCCAAAAATTGCCTCCTGACAAATCGGAAATTTAAGGTTTTTCAATTCCCCTTGGAAAAGAGTTACTGTAATAATTTTTGCGGTTTATAAGAAAAAAGAGTCTCAGAGGAACAAACACAGAACAGCATTGCACAAAAGAGTAAGTGTCGACACATCTGATTGTCAGAATTTCTTGATCTCGTTGTGTGCTCGTTTTTGCCTTGAGGGCTCATCACGAACTTCGCAGGGGCCTTCATGGATGCTCAAGAAACCTATTACTGTCCAGGGGAAGTTGGGTTGAGTTGAAAATAAAGAAATTAGGCCTACAAGGGATTGACAGGGATTTTCAAGGAACGAAGGCAATCTATGGAATGCTGTCACTTTTGTAGCGCGAAAAATATTAATTTCAATACTTGGGTTCGATCGAATGGACTTCATCACAGAATTTTATCTCAACATGTGCTTCGTCAAATAAATCAGCTGTAAGAACTAAGTAGGGACTCGTCAGGTGATGAAAATTAGGTTAATCAGCGTTAGGTTATGTTCAGTCAAGTCATGCTTAATACCTGCTCTTTTGTGTGTACCTGCTTTTTTGTGCTCGTTCGTCTTTGATGCTCGCCCTTCCAAGCACTTTACTTATACTCCTGCGGTATGATCGGTTTAAAAAAAAAAATTCGACTTTCCTGTGGAAGCTGACTTGAAAGATTTATAAGATTACTTGTAATTTGCTGCGCACATTTTAAAATGGTTTCGCTGTTACACGGATTTTGAAAAAACTGCCAAAATTGTCCCACAAATTTCTAAAGAGAAAATAATTTTAAAATCGAATGCAGTCGTAGAACATTCGTAATATTGTAGTTGGTGAGTATCGGCCAGAACTTCGCGGAAGCGGGGCATTTTTGTTGTTTTATCGGCCTTGTTTAGGGTTTTTTTTTTAAAGCTGTAGGATTGCAAGTGGATGACGATGGTACAAAACGACGTCAAGGTTTATATGTTTTTTGCGTGTGCGTGTTTTTTTTTATGTTCCGGTGTTCGCTTTTGTTGTCTCTTTTTCTTACGCGGGCTGAAGAGGAATCCCTCGGCCCCGGAAATGCAATATCTTTTTTAACACTTCGGATAAACCGAACTTGGCTTTTGCTTGGTGAACGCTAAGTCAGTAATTGATTTCTTCATTCTTTTCACTTATGCCCATATTTTTTATAGATGTGATGTGATAACATGCCATGCTCAATTTCTTTTCCTGTTCTTCGAAAAAAAATAACAAAACAGTTCGGTTTGAAAGGTGACCATAGTCAGGCGAACAAAAATCGATTCATTGTACGGAGAATATCGTTATGGCGAAGTTTCTTTGACAGAGCTTAAAAGAAAATAGGGACCAATTTTTATAACGCTAGAATTGCTGAACAAATGGTGGAAAGAAAAACTTAGGATTGCAGCTGGTTATTTCAAGGGTCTATGGTTTTCTAATGTACAACCTCTTCAGGGAATGTTTGCTAAAAATAGAAAAAAAAATTCCCTGCTTGCAGAATATTTCTCTTTAAAAATTCTGAGAAAGCTCAGCTTCATTAGTTCTGCGTATTTTCAAGGTTTGTCCCACGATGTAAGCCAAGGCATTCATGTCCAATCTTGATTGTGGTGATTTTCAAAAATTATGAACGGAGAAGTCAATTTGACCTCTAGTCCCTGATCAACTCGCATTCCTTGGAAATTGCAGTTGAGCCGCATTATTTTATCTTTTGCTGGTGTATAAATTGAAGCCAGCATGGGCATAACCCACTCATTATTGAAAATGATTGGTATTATTACTGCTGGACTACTTTTCATTGGCGTTGAATAGCAATATTTTTTGTGCTCCTACTTAATTTAGAAAAGCGTTTGAAAATAGCATTTGGATTGATTTATAATTTTGTAAAATCATAGTTCGTTGATAAATCTGGATTCAAAGAAGACGTTTTCATGTGGTGGAAATAGCTAACACGGGTAGGTGATCTGTCGATTTAGCTTTTGCTATTCTTGTTCTTCTCGTGCTGCGGTTTTTATAAAATGATGCGTATATTTTTATTCACAGGGTTGGAAGAATTCTGAGGTGTGACAAAGACTGTGTTTTAATGTGCTTGACTAAATTTCAGAGAATTTGGCGAATTTCTTCGTGTAACAAATCCCTGATAGTGTTGTACCAATAGTTGAAAATTTGTAAAGGATAGTCGGTTCTTTTTGAAAGAGGAAGAAATGAATCGCGGTCGAAGAAGTAGATCGAGGAGTCCTCGATCGCGGAGAAGATCCCGGTCGAGGTCCAGGGATCGGAGGAGAGACAATAAGCGATCCCGGCGATCGAGGTCTCGTTCTAATGAGAAACGAGAAAAGAGGAAACGTTCCAAGTCACCCACGCCGAATGAGAAGGATGAAGTGAAACTGGAAGCTGTTGATGTCAAGGTAAACAACTATTTTCTACGTTCCAAGGTTTTCCGAAGAATCATGCAAATCTCCATTAATTTGTATTGCATACTGAGTAATCATAGGCAGGGTCATTTTCAGTGGTTTTCTTGATTTGTGAAAATACTGTAATTCATCCGAAAATGAAGATTCGTTGCTATCAGAAATAATGAAGAAGGAACACTCATTTTTAACCTTGAGGGAATAACTCGATGAAAACTAATCACAGTACTGCGCATACTTTTATTTTGCGTGTGAATTCTCCAATTTTGGCTGGAAATATTCCGAAATTCCGGAGAAGAAAAATACACTTCTCTCTCATTATTTCAGATTGTATCACTTCTTAATTTTCGGATGAATTACTTTCACAAATCACGAAAGCCGATGAAACTACCTTTTTCAGCCGTTGCATTTTCACTCGAGGCTTAAGAGTTTTTTTTTTTTTTTTGCACTCGAAATCTGCAGAGAGAAGAAAATGCATTATGCGAGGTTTATATTACCTGAAGTAGATACTCGTGCATAACTATCCACAAAAGATGACGCATAATTATGTTTTTGTCGATTCCTACAAATTAAAATATGTTTCATCTTAGAGCTATTTGAATTTGTAGGAATCGTCAGCGCGTCGCATGATATTGTTGAGATGCTGTACATTAACCATTTTCTTCATGCCTTTAATGCTCATTCAATCTTCGACGCATTTTTCTTATTCCTAGCCATCGCTGGGAAGCCTGAGTGCTGCCAATATCAAACCGCCCCAAGTCCTTTCGGAAGAAGAAGTGAAGGCCCTGGCGAAAGAAGTTGAGCAGAAACGACTCGACGCCGAGATGCAAAAACGGAAGGAGCGGATTGAGAAGTGGCGGGCTGAGCGAAAGAAAATCATGCTTCAGGAAGTCCGCGAGACGATTGCGTCTCAGCAAAGATACGACATCCCGGCCAATCTTCAGGTTTAACTTCTCTACCTTACCTTATCCGAGTCTTTCCCACCGCCATCCTAACCCATTCAAAAATACCTGATTGATCGCTCTGGGCCAAAAAAATAAGAAATGAAAATGACGCTAGAAGCTCAAGTTGACTGCATACGTGTGTAATTATATCGGATTAGACGTCTCCTAAGCAGGGATAGCCTCTTCAAATATTGAACTAATTGAGTGTTTTCATTGAAAGGTTGTTACAAGAAACAGTTCTGCTCTTTTACTTGACACAAAACTGTATTTGCTGAAATCCAATCTACTGTTTTCTGTATCATCAATGAAATTGAAGTTCGAGCATAACATTACTTCTTGCAGCTTTCTCCCTTTAAAACAGACTGAATTACCTGACGTTTCTCTAAACAAGCTTGTTTTCCTGATAGTAGAAGCCCTCAATTAAACCTTCCCCACACACAATGCCACCCAGTTTAGTGCCACCTTGTTTTAATATTGAGTGTCACCGTTTGAGCCTAGCATCTGATTCCACTGTAAATTCTTCTGAACGGGAAAACGAACCCTCTGTTTTCATCGGTTACATTCCAACCAGTAACAAATATTATCGAATACTTCCTTCGTGCAGGTCGCACAGAACCCGAACCCTGACTCGGGCAAGAAGTGGTCTTTAGACGACGACTCGTCCGACTCCGATGAAGAACCGGCGGCCAACAGTGAAGCAAACGCGGACGACGAAGTTGACCCGTTGGACGCCTACATGGCCTCAGTGCAAGGAGGAACTCGGTCCTTGATAAAGAAAGAAAAAGAAGTTGATGGAAAGAAAAAAGTGGTCATTGTCAGCGGCGTGGTGAAGAAGAAGTCCGTCAAGAATAAGGGAGAACTGATGGAGCAGAACCAAGATGGATTGGAATATTCGTCGGAAGACGAGGATAATGAAAATCCGGCGGATATGCTTTCGGGAATGAACAAGGCCAGGCGAGACCTTGTGAAAATTGATCACAGTGCGATAGATTATCTTGAATTCCGCAAAGATTTCTACCACGAGGTGCCCGAGATTGCGAAAATGACTCCCGAAGAAGTAAGTGGAATCAATTATGATTTTCGAAGGGGTCATTTACCCTATTTTAGATTAGCTGCAAGCACTCAGTAGCGCTTGCATTAAATCTTGAAAAATATAAATCATCAAGAAATAGCAAAAATCCAGTGCATCAGTCGTAAAGCGATGGAGCACAAAAACGAAAGATACGTAGACGAAGTGGTATTAGGCTTTGTCGGTATTCTGTTTTTTTTCTAAAGTCTGGGAAATGGATGGGAAAAAGTTAATCTTATCAAAACTCGCGTGGTTTTCTGTACAAGCCTATGCTTATGCAAACGTAAGATGGGCTTTTCTGCAAATTTACCTTTGAAAAAATCCAGAATACGTCCTAGATTAATATTTGAAAAATGGAAGTATCATCTGACCTGTCTAGTCAATGTGTGACTAGGAGAAAAGCGTACGGCAATTTCTCCCCCGGAAAAAAACAAAATTTAGAAACGATAATTGGAACATTTCTTCCTTGGTAAATTCTACTTGGAATACTTTTAAAATGGACTAATCTTTAAGTCATGTTCTTGTATACGTGACGGGGGAGTTTTTGCATACAGTACTGTACTCATGTAAATGACTTCGATTCGCTGGCGAACTTTTTTTTGAGTGGCGGATAGTTTTAGGTCGGGCCTGGATTTGATGAAATATTTCATATTCGCTTTGCGCGAAAACTAGATAGCTCTCGAATCGACACCATGTGGATTTTGCTCTTAAATTTTTTCTGCGCATAATACAGGTCCGAGATTACCGTTTATCTCTCGAAAACATAACCGTGAAGGGAAAGAACTGTCCGAAGCCGATCAAAGCCTGGAGCCAGGCCGTGGCAGACCGGAAAATCCTCGACGCGCTGAAGCGCTTCAAATTTGAAACCCCTACCCCGATTCAGTCGCAAGCACTTCCCGCAATAATGTCCGGTCGAGACGTGATGGGCATTGCCAAAACCGGTTCTGGCAAGACACTGGCTTTCTTGCTCCCCATGTTCCGCCACATCGTGGCCCAGCCGCCACTCGAAGAAGGCGACGGCGCCATCTCGATAATAATGGCGCCGACCCGGGAACTCTGCATGCAAATCGGCAAGGATTGTCGAAAGTTTGCCAAGTCTCTGGGCATTCGAGCAGTGTGCGTGTATGGCGGAACCGGGATTTCAGAGCAAATCGCGGAATTGAAGCGAGGCGCTGAAGTGATTGTTTGCACACCGGGGCGGATGATAGACATGTTGGCTGCGAATAACGGCCGTGTGACGAACCTGCGGAGAGTGACGTTTATCGTGTTGGATGAGGCGGATCGGATGTTCGACATGGGTTTCGAGCCGCAGGTGATGCGGATCATTGACAACGTGCGGCCGGATCGACAGACTGTGCTGTTCAGTGCCACGTTTCCCCGGCAGATGGAGGCGCTTGCTCGGCGGATTCTCACGAAGCCTATCGAGATTCAGGTTTGTTACTTCTGTGTTTACAAAAGAGGCGGGGGCATTTCGTCAAAAATGTTCTTTCAACGCATGTCTGCCAATTTTATCTCGTTTATATTTTTATTCGCTGGTATTTCCGGTTATGCCTTTCAAGCCATTTCGGGCGTTCAAGTATCTGTTGCACTTCTTCAAGTCGAGCTCCAAGGAAACAGCAAAATAATTAGAGTTGAGGACTTAGGGTAACAAGCATTGGTGTTCGCCAAAAGACAGGAAAATTATTGGAAATTTTAATGGTTGATATTCATGGCCTTGTATTGCTTTTTAATTGAGTTGAGAGCGTACTGAAGTTGGAGGCAAGAGTTCATTTGCCTGATCAGTTTTATACTTCTTCAAAATCCACATTAATGTGCAATTTTATATTTTCACTTTTCTCCTTCTTGTGTAAATACAATTATAATTAAAAGACCTCCAGAAAAATCGAGTAATGGAGGTATAAGGAGGAAAACCTTTGAGTTATGTAGGTTATTGATGCATTTTTCTTGAGGGAATTCAGAAAGGGGTTCGAAAAAAATTCGACGGAGGGAGGTTTGAATTATCGAGTTTCAACTGCATTTGTGTGTTCTCTCTTTTTCAAATATTTTTCTGCGCCTATTGGATTTATTTGGCAGGTTGGCGGACGAAGCGTTGTTTGCAAGGACGTCAAACAAGAAGTAGTCGTGTTGGAAGAGGAGGAAAAGTTTTATAAGCTTCTCGAACTATTAGGAATGTACTACGAACAAGGCAGTGTATTAGTCTTTGTCGACAAACAAGACAGCGCGGATAAGCTGCTGACGGACCTCATGAAGCACTCGTATTCTTGCATGGCGCTGCACGGAGGCATTGACCAATTTGACCGCGACTCGACTATTGTGGATTTCAAAGCCAAAAAGTTCAATTTGCTGGTGGCGACATCTGTTGCCGCGCGAGGATTAGATGTGCCTGGATTGATTCTCGTGGTCAATTACGACTGTCCGAATCATTACGAAGACTACGTGCATCGGTGTGGACGAACTGGACGTGCTGGCAATGCCGGGTAAGTCGAATGCGTCTCTTGGATTGCATAGAAATTGAGAGCATTTTTAAAATTTATGCGTTCCCGGAAGGAAAACAATAAGTAGATAAGCGCAGGATCTATGCCCTAATTAAGAAAGTCTGTGCAGCCNGACGAACTGGACGTGCTGGCAATGCCGGGTAAGTCGAATGCGTCTCTTGGATTGCATAGAAATTGAGAGCATTTTTAAAATTTATGCGTTCCCGGAAGGAAAACAATAAGTAGATAAGCGCAGGATCTATGCCCTAATTAAGAAAGTCTGTGCAGCCATTCTTCGTTTTCCTTGTATCCAACAAATATTTCACTTGTGAATCGTCTTGCCGCTTTGAAAGTTTGCAACGATATTTTCTTACAGTTTTGCCACGATATTTTGGCATTTTAGGGTGCTATTGATCGGTGAATAATAATGAACACAAAATTTACATTTTAACCACTATTCTCGAGGCTGGCGACCAGTTGACTTCTTCCGGGAACCGTATCCATTCGAATATTAAATGTTCAGTACTTTCATCAAAAGAAATCAGATGCCTCTTTTTCTATTCAAAATTAGGTGCGCTGATAGTCGCATTTAAAGATACCCAGACGCCATATCTACTTTAAATGAAGTGTAGGAATACTGGCCTTTTTGCCTCATTCAATTGCCGAAGCACGATCAAATGAATCTCAGAAATCATCTAAAATTTCCCATTAAAGTCGCTGCCCCTTCGTATCTTTGTTTTACGCGTTTCTGTTCGCCGATGTTGAGTGAATGATAATATTTGCGTTCCAGAGATAATTTTCATAAATATATTGTTCTGTATTTTCCAGTAATGGCAGTTGTGAAGATATGTTGTTGCATATCGAAGTAGGAACAATTTTTTTTCAATTTTAAAAACATGCTATATGTGCGAAATTAATCAAAATTTCTTGAAATTATGCCTTATTGAGAAGACGTCAAGAAACCTTCATCAAGTAATTAATTTTATAAACGAACTAATAGGTTTCACATTTCTTGTTGCAGATTTGCTTATACGTTTGTTACCCCCGATCAAGAAAAACTAGCTGGGGAACTTCATCGGGCACTGGAGTTGTCAGAGGTTCCCATTCCCGAAGCGTTGAGTAAAATGTGGGATCGTTACAAGGCCCGGATGGCTGCCGAGGGAAAGACCGTGAAAACGGGCGGAGGATTTCACGGCAAGGGCTTCAAATTTGACGACTCGGAGACACAACAAGTTATTGATAAGAAGAAGGCGCAGAAAGTCGCTTTGGGGCTAGCCGACTCTGATGACGAGGACATAGAGCAAGATATTGATCAGCAAATCATCACCATGTTGGCTCCCAAGCGAACTGTGAAAGAAGTACCTGCGTCCTCTCTTGTGCCAGGTAAACATTCGATCGGCGGTGAGTTGGAGTTTATGCGTTGGGGAGATCTAAACCTATGAGGAAATCACGCCAGGATTAATTCAGTATTTGCCCAAAATTATTGTAGCTTCAAGGAAATTCATGCTTTCATTCTTCATCAACCAAATTGCGACGAATTTTGTTTCATTTATTCAATGTTGAACGAATTTCATCAAATCTAAGCCTTAAAGATTGTGTTTGTTGAGCCCCGACTCAATCGAATTAATTTTTGAGTATTGTGGCTTCATCTCGAGTCAGATCGAACCTGATGTAATATGATCCATGAGATCGTAGCTGATCAGTTGATTTAAAAAGTTGTATTGTGGCTCAATACTTCTCTGTAATATGCAGTAAAACATCGTACAGTAATTATAATTTTCTAATTGTATTTTTTATTCAAAAAAGTGACCGATAACTTCCTTTTGATTCATGAAATTTCCATTCGTGCATCTCTTGCGTGATTTTTGAAAAATGCAGCTGATGAGATTTTTTACCGTTCAAAATTAATATACTTATTGTTTATTTAATTGAAGACGAGACTTTCAACTTTTTTAGTTCCTGAAACGTATCAGTTTGATCGGTTTCTGATTAACCCAGTATTTATGATTCTGGAAACTCTCAGGATTGAATTTTCATTCAATGCTGTAATTGACACGTTAAGCTGAAATATTGTATTTTACGCATGCATCAGCCATTACAAAGCCACATCTATTTATTCGAACCTTAGTTCCTAACTGAAAATGATTTTCAAAGAAAAATTCTGAACTTTCTTGTTCAAATTTTTGTAACTTGAAATTGTATAAATAATGTGTAAGTTCAAGGACCAACTCCTCGTAAAATATCACGCGATCAGTAATTTGTCTTCATGTTGGTTTCTTTGAAATTCACTAAAAAATGTTGCAATTTGACTGGTGTTGGTTCCTCCATTTTGTTGGTGATTTACGTGAATATTTGCCCAATACGTTCATTCTCATTTTAACGAAACAAACAATTGTTGGGACGATTCGCAGTACAGTATTGAATCCTTGTGAATCGACTTTGCTCAGATTATTTTTCCCTTCTTCAGAGATTTAATTTTTACGTTATTTTCTCTCCTTTCATTTTTTAGGCTTAATGTCGGTTGTGCCGAATTTGGCGGCGCCTCCGGGGGCGAATGCTGGCCCCGGCATTCTCGGCGCCGCGCCGGCCGCCATGACCCGCGACAAGCTTGAGCTGGCCCGAAGACGGGCCGATATGATAGCTCAGCAGAAAACGCAACCGGTCCCATCGCGGCCAGCCGCCGGCGTGGTGCCGCCGAGCGTGATGGCAAACGCCGTGCTCGAAGGCCGCCAATTGCCTCAACTTCCGGCTCATTTGCAACTGTCTGGCAAGAACCTGGCGGAACAAGCCGCTGCTGTTCTCAACCGGAAGCTCAACTACATGCCGCCCGCGGATGGAGAATTTGAGCCCGGAGAAGCCTTTGGCCAACAAGAGACGTTCCAAAAGTTTGAAGAAGAGCTGGAGATCAACGATTTCCCGCAACAGGTTCGCTGGAAGATCACGTCCAAGGAAGCCTTGGCGCAGATTAGCGAGTACTCGGAAGCCGGCATCACGGTTAGAGGATTGTATTCCGCGCCGGGTAAAGCCGCGCCGGATAGCGAAAGGAAATTGTACTTGGCCATTGAGAGTACGAATGAACTAGCCGTGTCTAAGGCGAAGAAGGAAATTATGCGGCTGATCCGAGAGGAGTTGTTGCGTTTGCAAACTGCCGGACACCAGGGCTTGATGCCTAAGAGTCGTTACAAAGTTTTGTAATTCATTGTCATTTGTTTTGATTGTGGTATGGTGAATCATGCAATGGCTTGTCTCTTTTTTTCCTCGTACAGTATTTTTCATTTCCGGAATCAAGCGTTCTTGTTTTGTTTTTTGTTTGTTCTCGCGATAATTCATGGTCCATTCCTGTTCTCTCTTGGGTTTCAGAAATCGTTTGGAATGGTTTAGTGAAAAATGAGTTTTTTCCCGGCTTTATGTACCTTGTGAAGATTTCGCGAACACGAGCTTCCGACGAAATCATGACGTCATTTTTTCATTCGTTCTACGCGACATCTGTGAAAGAACTTCTTTGTGTAGCTGTTCTGTGTAGCTCACCGCGCGATGTAGATTGGAGAAATTTAGAACATAACATGAAACGACACATTTCAAAACAAACACGTTTTTGGAACAGCACTTGAAAGAAAAAAACAATCCGTTGAAGAAAATAGTTCAGGAAAGTATTATGTGTAGTGCGATAGAAAAACGCACCAAGAAGGAATAACTGAGGATACTACAGAAAATTCTGGACAGATGCGAACCTGTGTTAAGTACATAAAATGCTTTTAGGGGGCATTTATTAGGGCTTCAGATTTATTTTTTATCACCTATATCAAGTCGTAGCGACAAATGAAAGTAATCTTTTCTAAGTATCCGCCAAGAAGGTGTAATCTAGTCTAATAAGTGGATAAAGTAAACTTCGGAAACAATTCGATTACAAATCAATCTGAAGTATTTTGTACCTCTTCATTTATATTTTCGGTTATTCTATTCACGAGAGAACCTCTTTTTCAGACTTTTGTGAGGGAATAACTTGACCTAACGAACTAAATTGAATAAGTAATCGTGTGATTTTATGCTGTGAAACCAATTTTCGAAAATACTGTACTTGCGCAGTTTTGATCACACGATGTTTTGGGACACGCCATTTTAAAACGCCTCACGGCCTTGACTGTCCGGTGATGATCCTTCACGCAATTCACTGATGCATGCGATTTGACTTCCAGGGCCTTTTTTTCAGAATTTTTCACATTTTGTAATTTCTTACGTCAACATGAGACGGTGAGAACATCATTTGTTCATGAAATATTTACGATTCCGCAAATGTAGACCTTTCTCTTTCTTTTGGCAGACGGACAAAGAAACAACCCGTGGCTGTGACGCATAATTTCAAGCCTCCCAAGAAGAAGAAGAAACCTGCGAAATCTCCGAAGGCGACGAAATCGCCCCGAACTGAGAAGTCTCCGAAATTGCCGAGCATCGACGACAGCGGAAAAGACTTTACTGATGAATTCGACGCAGCAATGAAGAGTAATATTAAGTGTGTGAAGTTGAAGGAGAAGAAAAATATGAACGTTTTTGAGTTTCCCGAAACTCCGGGTACCCCCAAGAAAAATCCTGACGAGGTGTCTAAAAAGAAGCGTTTCTTCGGGAATTCGTCGCCGAGGCGTGTCACTGTCTCTTTGGCGAACAATATTGTGTGAGTAACCCATGTGACTTTCAACGCTCGATTTTTTGCCTTAACTTTTCCGAAAGTTTCATCTCGGCAAATTTTCCTCTTATTTTCCACTTTCAAACTTTGGGTAACTTCAAGAAGTAAAGTTGACTAAATCAGGGATGGTAAAGCGATTCAGGATGTTCATACAGTATATCTTTTTTGACTGAGTTTGAGAAATTCGTGGGTTCTTGAGTGATGAACAAAGCATTCCTTCGTTCGATTTATAGTTTTCTAAAACACCTCTAGTTCATTTAGTGCGGAGCAATTCTAGCTTAGAAATCAGCGGGTTCCCTACGATCGAATATTAATACGTCCAGACATGTGGCTTAATATTTTATCAGGTTGAAAACAAGTACTAGAGGAGCCATGAAAATATCGTCTCAAGACCGCGTGAGAAAGTTGGAAAATACCATTCCTCCTTTCGTGAGCAGTGCAAATCGTGCGAAATTCGTTGTTCAAAAGAATGAAAGCAGTGCCCTTGCAGCTGTTCCACCAAAGCCTGCAACAACGCCTCGACGATCTCCGAGATCTTCCGCGAAAACTACGGCAGATTTGTCCAAAACCCCACGTGAGTCTCTTTTACGCCCCCCCCCCGAGTCAAATGGTTAACCTAAATATCCTGGTTCTCCGCAGAATCTGGGAATTTTCCAGTTGAAACCAGGAAGCGTCGATTGGAATTTCAAGCCTGTGAAGAAGCGAAGGAACACAAGAAGCTGCGCGTGGAAGTTGCTGAGGACGAGAACGTAGCTCCGCAGGGTGTGAAAGTTTTTCCGATTTTCCGGCGTGAAACCTGGCTGAAGTGAGTTCTTTTTCTGTATCGTCTATTGACTCATTTCCAAAGTTCATCAGATTAAACAGTTCATGCAGGTTATTAAATGGGTGTAAAGAAAAATTTTATGTGTTGGGGGAATGCAGTATTTTTTTGCTGACGTGTCAAATCGTTGTCAAAAATGAATGGCTTACTTCTGGAAAAAGTCGATCATCATGATCTCAAGCGTAGAAATTCAAGAAGGCTCACAGAAACTTGAGAAAACCGCTGTTGCGATTTCAGACACACGAAAAGATTTCAGGCGAATATGGAATTCAACTCGACTCTTTGTATCATAATGAAAAATAAATCATGAAGTGGCTACTATCATAATACCACACTCACACGATGATAGGTCGCTTTCGACCATGATTGATTGGCTGAATTCCCGGCCAACATTTTAGGAAAAAGAACCGCGTATGCCACGAAAAATTGGATAAATTAGGGAGGAAAATGCAGTCACTACATCGTTGCATACTTTGATTGTCTTTCATCTGAGATTTCTTCGTCAAACTTTCATGATGCGACCTCGATGTGGATGGATTATGGAGCTTACGTTTTTATTTTACCGTATTTTAGTGCGAGGCTTAGCGAGAAATCGGCCAATTCTGGCTTGAACGGCATCGGAGTAGAAAAACCGAAAATCCCGAAGACGAAAGCGACGTGCACGCACAAGAACTTGGTGCAGACGCAAATCGACGCTGGTCAGAAGGCCTTGGAACCCGTGACTTGTGAGACGTGTCAGATGGTACATGTTGCCGGCGACGAAGACGACCAGTTGGAGCACTACGCGTTCCATCGACAAACCGCGACTGCTTTGAGGATCCAGGTCAGATCAGTGTTTGAAATTCCAATTCCGACAGGGTGTCACGTGGATTTCATTATATTTAACGAAGTCTCAATTCCTGTGTTCGAAAAGGTTGTACAGTGTCTTAATTATTTTTTAGAATATTTAGACTATTTCGATGGATTATGAACGTATTTCTTGATGGAAAATTTTTTAGAGGAATGAGAATATCTTAATAAAAATTTGTAGCGTGAATTTGATAAGCCTTCAAATAATTTAGAAAATTAGTTATTTCGTGTTGTATTCTTTCGTGTTTACTGATTCGAATACTGTATTTCCTTGAAGTAGAAGGGAGTATGGCGTCAGCTTGTGGTGGAAATCAAAGGCAAAGACGTTGAAATCCTTCGAGTGGACACGAAATCGCCGATACTGGCGTGGAAGAAACTCGGTGCAATCGTAGATCTGATTGATAATGAATTGGGTATCGTTTCTGCCCCGTTGAAAAAGAAACCCGGACTGGAGGTCTGTGATTTTAAACCCACTTCTCTCGAAGACAATGAGACTGAAATGGATCCATCATTCCAGGGCTATCTATACGTGAACAAGTGCAACGTGGAAGGCGTGATGATCGTTGAACCTGTTGCGAGCGCAAATAAGATCATCATTCCCAAAACGGAGATTGAACCTTTGTGCTGTTCTGAAGAAGAATTGCCTGCTGTTTGCGGTGTCAGTAGGATGTGGACCGTTCCGAATCGCCGGCGCAAAGGAATCGCTTCATCGCTACTCGATTGTTCGAGGTAAGTCGTTATTTCTTAGTCAAAATGTCGATAGTTTTGAATCAGCCTTGTAAAATTTCATCCAGGAAAACGTTTGGTGCAACTGTTGGTCAACGGACATTGACAACAAAGGAAATTGCTTTCACGGACCCAACCCCGGATGGCTTGAATTTTGCCATGAAGTATTGCGATTCGAAGGAATTTCTGGTTTACCGTCCGATGCTGTGAAGAAAGACACTTCCCGAATCAAACTGCGGCATATTTTGGCTTGTTGCAAGCCAATCGCGCTTCGGATTTACTTTTTTGTGGCGAAAAAATCCGGATGCGATGGATGAATTTGAGAATTGCGGGTTTGTACAGTTTTTGCCTTTGCATGAAGGAGAAATGAAATTTGATCCTGACTTCATGTCTAATGATTTTGTATTTACTGTACTGTTTTCCATTACCAGGAGCCCCCCCCCCCCCCCAAAGTACAGAATTTAATATGCTTCTATTCAATTTCTTGGTGAACGCGCATGTCATTTGCGCCTTCAATAGTTCAATTTATAATACTGTACATTATCTGCATTAGCATTAACTGAAAGTTGACATGTGAACATTTTTATTATGTTGTAAAGCTCATGCGCAACCAGTAACGGTTAAGGCTCTGTTGACTGCTCAGTAACACTAGTTGGAGACACAAGTTACTTCGCGCGAAGCGTGGGGAGAAACGTGCTACGAACAGCAAAAAGCCGCGTTATGTAACAATCCCATACCGTATTCTGCGTCTCCTACTTCTAACCAACCTTATTGAAGTGCTGCAGGTTTTAATTCGTAAGATTTTCTGGAATGTTTGAAGGCAGTGATGTTTTAAAATCAAATTTACAAACCTGATGAGACGTACGACTTTTCCTCGGGAAACCCTGTGCAACACTGGCCTCCGCTTTATTCGGCGAGTTGGGCACATCACCCTCCTCATTGAACGCGGTTGAAGAGGAAATACAGTGAAATTGTGTGTAGTTTCTTGAACCAAATGATTTGATTATTTTCTACAGTTTTGCATGCTACTCCGCATTCCCGTATCCGTGGCCAATACGAATCTACGAGGCCTTCGGCAGTCGTTAGTACGTTTCGACCTTCGTGTCCCTGGGTTTTCGGGATAGTTCGTGGAATAGAAGGCTAACCGTAGTTATTTTGTTTCAGGAATTCGTCTTTTCTTTTAATGCGTGCCTGCTAGTTACGCCGCGATTTCATTTGTGTTCCTGATTTCAAGGAGAAAAAGTTTGAACTGGTTTGTGGCAATGAGCACAGTGAGTCCTTCGTGCGTGGTGAACCTGTCGGGAATTGAAGGATACTCTTAGCGGTGGTTCACCTGTGTCGATGGTTTCATCGACTTCTATGAAGCGGTAGCTAAACCTTCCTGATCACCTGGCTCATGTTAAGTTGCGAACCGAAGTATCGCGAGTCCTTCGCGAATATGGGCCGTACGCAAGCATCGTCGTCCGCTCAGGATCCTCGTATTCCTCACTCCGTTCCTCCTCCGGCTGATCAGTGTAATCACAATAAAGAGACTATCCATTCCGGGCACTTCATGGTGTCAGAGTTCGAAGCAGAAGCTCAGGATGATGAAGAGAACGTTGCCATTCCGGTGCCTGATGAAAGCGAAGTCAAATTGGCCGTGAAGGCTCCACCTGCGCGTATCCCGAGACCGGAGCCTGCTGCGATGAATTTTACAGAATTGCAGGCCGTGTCGCTGGAACGGAGGCATTCGCAGACCGTCGCTATTGATTCTTCGCTCACCAAGCTCTTCCAGTGCATGTCGCTTGCCTACAGGTACACATGATGTTTTATTCCCGTTCTTCTTTTCTTTGCTTTTTTAAAATGTCCATTCGCTGAACTCGAAAAGCACCGCGTCAATTCTGTTCTTTTCTCTGGACTTAGTGGATTTTTGACCGAATTTTTTAAAGAATCGCCTGAAGGGGTATCATTTTTCTAAGAAGAGCGATCCGATGAATAACACCAAATTAATCGCTGAATAAATGTTTGGTCACTGATTTTTCGTCTGAAATTTTCCCATTTTTCTGTGCATATTCTAATTACCAAAGTGGATTGAAAAAAATCTTAGAACAGAAATAATAGCTTTTTGTAGTTGGAATAAGCAGGCATTTATGATTGAAAGAAAATCTGTACTGTTCAAAATCGTGTCATACGCTGAAAATACCCTCGAGATACATTCGAAACCGCAATGCTGATACCGAACCATAAATGAATTCATGCATGATGGTTAAATCATCGTACCTTCTTACGGACTCTTCCTCAATCGTACTAGGTTTTCCCTCCTAAAATTCCCATACAATGAGAAACCGATGGAGACGTTTCGAAAGAGTGGAGAAATGGGATCCTTGAATCTGCAGTATTATTCATGGTGCATTTGTTAGCTTGGTGCGTTTTCCCTGTCAAAATTCACGATTTGTATTCATTGTTCTGACGGGGAAGTACGTGTAATTCGTTTGTTCAATCCACTTTGTTTCAATTCGAGATTATGTCACGGTTGCGGGGATGAAAAATGCGTGTAAGAAGAGACAACTATGTTTTTTGCATAATCTTCTTGGTCGTTGTTTAATATTTACTGGGTGATTTTTGCCGTGGATAATCTTCGTATTCAGATTGAATGAACGAAAAGATTTATTCGAGTAATTAATCTAACAAGGAATATTCTAATCAAATGTTGTACCGTTATTCGTGATGTGCGTTTTATTTAAAAAAAAAATAAAATTTATTCCCGAATGCGACATACAATTTTGTTATTGCCCTCATTCAAAACTAGTGCCTATGATTCGTATAAATTGTCTCTTGAATATTGCCAGAAAATGATGTCGTGGATAATACTGAGGTCGATTGAACATGAGAGATAACATGCAGCTGTTTTAGTTGATGATCGTGTACCGTCTTCGCGAGCCGAGCATCATTAGCATTGTTATCCTGTCTCGTGGGGTTCATCATCATAATTGAGCGTGTTCATGCGTATTGTAGACAGAAGTTGACTTCCCCCAAGTGGAACCGATTCAAGGGTCTGAAGTTGAGATGGAAAGACAAAATACGACTGAACAACATCATCTGGCGCGCCTGGCACATGCAATGTGAGTTCCGCTTTGGGAACACTTTTCGCTTTTCCTCCATTGGTCGCAGGGAATGGGTGTGTAAGCTGGCGCTCGTCACTCCTCACGACGAGCTTTTTTTTTTTTTAATCGTTTTCAGGGAGCTATTCTTTGGTACTACACTTTTTTGTACTGTACTGTACAGTATATACTTGATCGAAGTGGATGCTAACGGTCATCGGGTCTGGGGTTCGGCTGGAAAGGGATGGTGTATTTGTTCCCGATGCCTTTCAGATAATGTTTTACGTCCGTTTTTTTGTTGTTGCTTTATTATCGTAAACTCGCGAATTTAAAGTTCCGTTTATTCCAGGATTTAATCGCATTGTAAATTGCAGCCCCTCAAATCTGTAAAAGGTTGCTTGCGGATCTGAACGCGTGTCATTCGAGAATTTGACATAAAACTGCGTTTACTGATGGGTAAAAAAGTAACCTAATTTCCTTGTCTCCTCATATTTCATTCACCTCATTACGAACATATCGGGTCTTTGAGTTGATACACGTTTTGCGTAATACTCATCGTGCACACATCTTGGCTTATTTTCGTGATTTCACTTTTTCAATTTATGAGGTAACTTGCGCTTCATTACGTTTAATCAAGTTTTAAATTTTTTATGGTTGGTCTAAGTCGAGATTGACGTGACACGTGGGAGATATTGTATGATCGCTTGTCGGTATTTGAGGACTAGAATAATTTTCTAGGAGTTTGGTCGATTATGAAGCTGTGATGGAATTCAGTCCAAAAAAATTAAGAGTGACAAATCTCGATTTTGGGTCAGGAAGCTTCTGACGTCTAAATTTTGTATTATTTATTCGGTTCGTTTTTTTGTGTGTGTGAGGATTCTACGATTCGCACGTGTTCATGCTTGATCATGGATCTAAATTTTTTTGTGTATATTAAATTTTGCAGTTATCAAGAGGAGGAGTGTCGCTGTGTGTCAGTTTGCGTCTCCGCTTGATGTGGACATTCACGTAAAGCCAGAGGTTAGTTCATCCAGTGATTCCGTCCTGAAGCATCGGAATTGTTGATAGCTTATCGTATACAGTACAATACGTCCAAACTAACTGCTCCTAATGTAGAGTCACGTAATGCGTCAGGTATTTGCTTGTATTGTACTTGAATTTCTGTTATGTGATGAATGAAGTGAGTGGTTGGCACAGATTTTAGTGCCCTTTTTTAATGAATTCGTATTTTTTTTCATAATTTCTACTGCCATGAGACAAATTAGGACAGACGTTATAATTTTCCATCAATGAATAAAAGTGAATACAGTACTTTTTATTTTCAAAGATTAAAAAAAATTTGTCTCTGAATCTAGAGTTTTTTTAAAATTGTTATTAAAAATATACTCTGATGGAAAAAGATTCGTTAAAAGCGAAAAATTGTACTTGGAATGAACGCTCTTTTTGAGAGAAACAATGTGCCATAATATAGTTTTTGTTATTTCTTTCAAGGCGATCGTTCTCGAGGGCAAGTATTGGAAGCGTAAATTGGCCGCAGTAACGGCGGAGTACAAGAAGTGGAGAATTTACTACCGGAATAATATTCTGAGAAAGGTCGGACGCTGCGATGAATCTGATTTGGTAAGCGGTCGAGGTCATGGATTCAATTATGTACGGAAAACGGATGCCTCTCCTTACCCTGACTATTTTTCGATTCGATATCTGTTGATTTTTTAAGAATAGCCTTGTTTTGGGATATCAAACCCATTTCACCCTGCATGTAAAAGATAATCTTCGGGGAAGGGGGACTCCTTGGTATATTTTTTGGACTACGAGGGTTCTAACAAAAGTTCTCGGAATGGAAATGAAAATGGCGTCTAATCGAGCTGAAAAAAAAATTATTCTTTAGTGAAAACATATTCTTTGGCACGAAAAATCAGCCTTGTTTGACAATTTTTTTAAATGTTTTGCAAAATTCACCCTAGGAGAGTTTTTCTATCCACTCAAAAGATGAGGCGTCCTTCCTGCAGTTTTTTTTTTTAGCCCAGCTTTTCCCTCAGAATTCTTGAAATCAACGTGGCAGTAATTCCAATGGTTGCCTCCAGGTCTTCCAAGGTGATTCCGCCATTTTCATCCACAGCCGCCAATGTGATGGTGAATTTTTCAAAACAGTAAAAAAAATTGTCGAACAAGGCTGATTTTTCGCCAAAGAATATTCCCTAAAGAATAATTTTTTCAGCTCGATTAGACGCCATTTTCATTTCCATTCCGAGAAATTTTGTTAGAACCCTCGTATCTCTCTTCAAAAGCTTCTGGAAGAAAAATCTTCGGAAAACGCCAAAATTCTCCACTTCTTTTTCAAAATAATCTTGGTAAAAAAAATGTTTTTTGAACACTCGTAATGAGAGCCGTATTTTGGAAATTAATGCCTTCTGAAATCACGGAGATTCGCTTAAAATGAGAGATTAATTTCCTGTATAATTTTAAGTTTGATTGATGAAATGACTGCTGTATTTTTATTTATTTTATAAAATGGAGATGGAGAAAACGCATTCCTAAAGATGCCGTTGCCACTTTCTGGAGGAAAACATTATTGGTAACGTATTTTATTTCAGATAAACTTGACAAAATTGTGAGGCATTCAATATATTTTTCAAGTAAAAAATACACGAATTGATGATGACATAAAATCATTCCAAACTTAATTTTGAAAATTTGCTCGATTCCAGTCGGCGATTCAGATCGATGGGTCAGAGTGGAGTGGCGGCTTTCGTTGTTTGCCGGGAGTTGGTTTATCGGGTGGCATTGAGCATCTTTTTGACGATGTTGATTTGCTGGTGGATTTCAATGATACTCTGTTCTCCACGTTACTGCCGAATCAGCCCTACTACTTTCCAAACCCGAGAGAAATTGGTTGGTGTTCTCATTATTCGTAAATACATTCTGGATCCTGAATGTTGCAACTTTTATCGAAGCCAGGGGAGCTGGAATCGCCGATTTCATTCAACCAGGACTCGTGCAGCTCCAGCCAAACCTTGATGAGTTCATGGACACTCTCGAGCCTCTGCATGGTATTTATTTGAATTATTTTCTTATTTTTGCCTAGCAGAAATCAAGAATAAAGAATGTACTTCCATGATCTGTGTCTTTCAACGCCAGATGAGTGTCGTCTCAATCTAAAAACTGACGACGTTTCCGTAATGCTACCGTAATTACCTTTTAATTTGACGCCTGAAATGGCCGAGTGTGAATGTCATGAATGCTCAAAAGCTTCGATCGAGCTCTTGTTGAATCGTAACAAATAATGATGGATTTTTCTCGTTTTCAGATTTGTTACAGTCAAAGTTGCCACCTGTTGCCGAAGAGGTGAATTTGGACGGGGTGTCGTCATCTCAAAATGCGGTTCTGCCCCAGCCAGAGAACCAGGTCATGTATGCAGAAATGGGACCGTTGGTGGCTACGGATGCACCTTTGCCAGCCACTGTAAACATTAGTCCCCAGGCAGACGTCAAATGTCCTTCAGAAGTTGAAGGTTTGCTTATGTTTCCAATATTTCTTGCCGTTTTCATCTTTGATGATGTCTTGCGTCCGCAAAAGAAGAAAATGTTTTGTGATGCACTTTTTTTGTGGTCTCAGGTTGTTTGCCAAGCGCTATGGAAGAAACGGAAGCTGCTCCTGTCGTTTATTCGTATATGGGAAAGGTACGGCTTTCTTTTTTTCTTTACTAAACTTGACTTGGTAGTGAAATTTACATCGATTTTCTCAAGTACTACGAGTCCTTCCCCCCACCCCTCCCCCCATACTTGAGAGGACAGAAGGGGGGGGGGGGGTTGCATCATTGGCGGGTTTAAATTTTTTTAAACTTTCAGGAGAGTGATTCTAATGGGAAATTTTAGTCCAATTTAATCAGAGAAAACTATTTTCATTGAAACAATTGGAAGTTCGCTGAATTCAGGTCATTCTAGAACTACTGTATTGCCGTTTTGGAGTCACTAAAAATATGGTGCGCTTCTTATTTGGGGGTACGACTTTAGACTAATCAAATTTTAGACTAAGAAACTTGGATAAGCGTTTAACTCGTGGGCGCGTGGTACTTGAGTAAACATGGTAATTATCGGAATTGAGAGCACAATTCAGACCTTTTTTGTAAGATATAGATTTTTTTTATGGAATGCAAAATTCGCTTTTTTTCTCCCCATCAGGAGTATTCGTGCATACAGGAAACCCCGTATTCCTTGACCATGGCGTCACCGCCGTACCAGCCCCAACATACTGCTTTACAACCGGTTAAAATCGAATCCGCGGCGGCTCCTGTGGACGCCAACATGGGGATTTCGGCTCCTGGATTCGGATTCAGACCCCGGCGAACGGTTTTCTCGTCGTCACAACCATTGGGTACCCAGGCTGGGTCCAAGGCACAGGCCTTTGAAGCCCACCAACGAGCCGCCAACATGGACACGAGTGGGGATGTTGTTGCCACTGTGTACACTATTGCGCAGGAGCCGTTGCAGTATCAGGTCGTCGAAGCCCCTGTTGCCAAGGTAAAGATTGAGGACTTCGAGTTGTTCTGAGACGTGGAAGGCCGAAGGATATCCCGAGAAAGAAAAAAAAATTAATCATCCTGTGCGGGTGGGGATGAGTAGAAGTCTGCGTTTGCGGTTTTCCTGCTTCCCTTTAATTTATTACAATATTTATGCCAGGGAAATTTTGCAAGTCATGCACGAATCATCCTTTACCGTGCGAAAAGTGGGGTGATAATTTTTCAAGAATTACCGTATTCTGTCTAGACAAGCTCAAGTCTTTAAAATCCTCATGAAAATTGGGAAGAAGTGGATTTATTCCCAATTTTTACCTGCTGGAAGTACTGTACAGTATGTCGAAGACTTCAAGATGCCCATGATTCAATTTTATGGGGATGCTGAGTATCATCTTGACATTCTTTCGATGACTCCGTTCCCAAGTTCCTCTCGAAATAGTGCATTCTTGGAATGCTTTCTGAACGACCGCCATACTTTCAGTCTTCGTTTTGGAAAATATTCCTGCAGCAATTGGCTAGAATATTTTATTTTTAAGCAAATCTTACATATTTTAGGGCGTACTCAAAATTACTTCAAATTATTCATTTTTTTTCCCTTTTGTCAGAAAGGAGAGAACAGGGGATACAGAATTTCTTAACTAACTTTTTTTTCAAGGTTTATTTTGATCATCCTCCATCGATCAACATTTCGTTAGTTCTTCATGAAGAAACTTGCCGAAGAAAATCCTGGAAAATTATTTGCTTTTTTCAATGGAAAACTACGCTTTCTACAGTTTTGGCAAGTGAAATAACTTCTGCGAACCTCTCTACCTGTACAATGTTCGAAGTGTTTGAAAAATTACTGTTCCTCGGGAAAGTCTGCAAATCTCGAGTACAACTCATAATGGAATAAATAAACTTGTATATGTGTGAAGAAATCTTCAAAAATGAGTTCATCATGGAAAATATACTTTGATTTGTTTATATCGTTTCAGAAGAAAATAGTAATGCTCAAGCGCTCCTTCATATAGATCCTTGTCCCTGACGCCGACGGAACTTAGCATCAGCGTGCTCAAGATGAAAATGCAATTTTAACTCTGTGACATCCACTCGCACTAAAATAAATTGATATCTTAGAGAAAGATATTGGAAAAATTATAAATAAATATTGCTATTCCCATGCTGTGGTCTTTCTCCAATGAGTCAGACCAGATGATTGAGTCTTTATTTTCTTCTTCATCTCCAGGGAAAGCAAATGGGAAGAAGTTTCTCCGGTGGGAGTCACATTCAGTCGGCATGGAATTCGCCGCCGAAGCGTCGAGATTCCGCCCCGGCGTCCCCGCAAGAAGTTGCCGTTGGCCTCGCCAAACCCCCGACGATCTTCTCTACGAAATCCTTGCCTCAGAAATTTGCCCAACCTACGAATAAGCCATTCCCCGTGCGTTCTGCTTCGCTGGGAAAAATGACGAATGTCGTCGAACCTTTCCCGGGATCGCAGCCAGTTAATTCAGTGAGTTACACAAACGTGAAAGAAAAAAAAGCTGTAGCATATAATTTACGCTTTTCATATCACAATGGGATACTTATAATTTTGCTTCGGTATTTTCTAGCTTATTGCCATCATTCTTAATTCAAGATGACGTAATAGGATTGCCCCAAAGCCGCGCTGAGTTAGTAACGTATTTTCTAATTTCTAACATCGGTGGAAATGAAAAAAAAGAGATTTTTTATTTTTTGCGACTTTTCAGTCGTTCCTTTTCTCAGATTTTAAAGATCTTTTCCATTGCACGAGAAGTGAAAACTTGCCCATGATATCTGGAGTTTCCCAACTCATTTCACGGTTCGCTTAAGGCAATACGATTTCAAATCTTTCAATTGTTGCGTTTCTACTCTTTATCCGAATTTGTCTTGTTCCTTCGTAAAAATTAAGCTTCAGTGTCGCTTACTTTAGAACTTTCTCACAGCTCGTAGAAATTTTACTAATTTTCGACCATAAGTTGAAAAAGTGCAAATTTTTTTTGTGCAATCGCAAGGTGTTCATTTCGAAAATCAAATTTTTCTTAGACATTTGCCAAGGCAAATTTTTGAGCCTTGAATAATATTTACCGAATTTCTTGAGGCAACTCTAGTCTAAATTCAGGTTAACGCCCTTGTGGGCGCGTTCAATCCAATTTTTTAAAACAACATATGCCAATTTTACCGTGGAAACTTGAAACTTTTGAACGTATTTTTGTTTGGTTGCTTTTGGATTAGGTCGTATTTATTAATTTATCAGTAACTATTTTTATAAATTTTTCAGAGCAACACGGGTTCCGGTGGACAGAAGGTTACGTTTGCCACTAATGTCAGCACGTTTGTCGAAAGCCCCAGACCACCTTCCATTGGTGCCCATAGTTCTTCGTCGGGCTTTGTTTCGCCCACAACTCCTCCTGTTCTGTCGCCCACTAGCATGAAGTTTTCTTCAGATTCCTCTGGTCCTGATGGAACGTACAACAAGGTGACTATTTTTTCCTTATTTTGCCATCGAAATGCTTGAAATTGTTAAGGGCTGTGTGATGTTTACAGTGTTGAACTTGGAAAGTAATGTATTTACCGTAATCTCTCGTGAAACTTGAGCTGGGAAGTTATCAGTGTTTTTCGCTTAAATACTGTGGGAACGAATAATCTTTAAAATCACTTCTTCAAAATTGACCACACCTTGGATGGAATTCGGAGAGAGAATTCAATTTAGCCGGTTGTCAGAAGTACGTTGAAGGAAAAGATTCACTTCTTTGCTTTAGTAGAATGGGAAACACTGAACAAATGCAAAAATTTGCGCTTCAAGTTCTTTATTGCATGAAATTCTGTTGCTGAGAAGTGTACTCCTGTTTTTTTTTTTTTTTTTTTAAAACCCGACTTTTGCTTTGGATTTACATTGCATAGTCCTGAAAAGTGTGGATAACGAATTGCGCCCGTTTTACAAACATTTGCTGGTTCGCGGATTACCCTAATTCAATTCAGTGATGAAAAGAGAAAGAAAATTACTGCGAACGCGTTGCCGATGATTGCCGAGATTGAGTTGTTGACATACGGGGTGTCATTTAGAAGAGAGTGCAAATGGGGGAATCGCAGTAATTGACTCTCAGGATCTGTTTTTCCTGAAACTTACAACCTCATCAAGTTCCTCGAAATCAGCAATCGTTTTACTGTTTTACTGCGGACAACTGTAGTGAAACACTTCGACAACTCGCGGCTACTTGGGACCTGGTCTAACGGACCCTTCGGCTGTCATTTTGCCGGGCAGGGATTTCGACAAAACAAAGTGGTTATGACAAAGATAAGTGTAAATATAGTATTTCGTGGAATTTTCTCCGAATTCCTGGAAGTCGGAGACGAAAAGCCAAGTATTGTAGGCCCTTTTTCGTGAATTCGGAGGAATGAACTAAACGAATAGAGCTGGAATTAACCTGGGTCAACCGCTGACTTTTTCACACCCATGCACAATTTCACGCCCGCCCAACAACTCATATTTTCGTGCTTTTTACACCCAAATCCGCAGAAACAACAGAATTGTATTAACCGTAATTGAATGTGTTACTGACTTTTCCTCCTCGGTTCTAGATGCCCCAGACTAGATGCCATCATCATTCAGTTGTTGAATTTAGAATTATATGACCTGTCTAATGATGATAACTGACCTTCCATGACTGAATGGTTCTTAAGCAGCTAATTTTAAGAAAATATCTTCGCCTATTCACCGAATTTAACGTTTGACCTTTTATAACTCCATGTTAATGGAACTCTCAACTGTATGTTAAGAGTGAAGGATGTATTACGAAAAAAAGTCGCCAATTTTATTCGGGTAGGTTTTTCTTCAGAATTGATCAAACACTTGATCAATTGATGCGCACAAAAATTAAAAAATTCTCAATTTTAGCGTTGAGCTTTCGGATGGCTGTGAACGCTTGAAGTAAAAAATTGAATCAATATCCTGATACAGTGAAAAAGCAAGCATTTCAACGTCGTTTTTCTCCTGCTTATCCTCACAATATTGTCGAACATTTACAGGAAAAGAGAAATACGATGCGCTAACTGACGTCAAATAACAAGAAAGGAAATCGAAACGGTTTTAATGGTCTCTTTCAAGAGTTCCGCCCATTTATTGCTTCCGTTTCCTCTTGGAGCAAACCATGGGAGGACGTTTTCTGGGGTCAGATTTCCTGCCGGGAAAACAGTTTGTCAGGGCTGACAGAGTATTTTATTTTTATTCGTTGGAGAAGTGAAGATAAAACTGAAGCAAGAAGCTTGGGATT